GGTGTGTGTGGTGGTTCATTCTCTCCCTTTTTTTTTTTTTAGCTCTCCCGAGAAACTCATGGGGTAAGGTGTGAGACATTCAGTGGAGTGATGCGCCCCCTACAGGCGTAGCAGCTGAGATGAGTGCAGGTGCCTCTCTCCAGCAATCTCTGGGCAAATAGGCAGGGTACACTCTGGACAGGTTAACAGCCCATCGCAGGGCAACACACACACACACGCATCTGTGGCAAGGTGGATAAACGAGGATCCGGGCGGGATTCGATCCCCAGACTCCCGGGTGAGAGTCGTACGCTCTAACCAGTCAGCCAAAGGGACATCCCCTTGGCCAAGTAGCCAGGGCACATGATCAATCGGGACACTGTGACAGGACGCTCACACCGTCACACATCTAAAGCCTGATTTATACTTCTCCGTGAGCTCCGCAACAGAGAGAGACGCACACGGAGTGTCGGAAAGGTTTTCACATGCGAACTTCTGTTCAGGTAGCGGAGCGTTGCAAAGCAATTCCACGCCAGGACAACAGAGGGCATAGCACTTTTCTGTGGTGTCCTGCCACCATAGCACTCATGTATCCGGTACCCGATAGTGTATTTACTCATTTGTTTATGTATTTCAGAGACTTTATAACATGGACACATTTGTCCTTCAGTCTCCTCCACCTCTTCATGCGGTCGCCACCTCTAAACCCACATTTCCCGTTGTTTCCGACTACGTTTGCTCCGTGTTTTGTACCCCTTTAGTTACGGATGAAAACATGTCAATATTTTCTGACTTTTTCTGAGATGTGTTCTTCAATCTGTTCTGGGACTGCCGCTAAATATCTGTTTGCATTTTAACGGAGCTACAGCTGTGCTGGTGACGACCATACAGGAAGCGTCGTCCTGACCCCTCACAAGCTTGCGGTCTCCGTCACTTTCGACGGATGTTAAAAATTTTAGGAATGGCTCTGTCACCCTCTGTGAGCATGTCGGAGAGGCCTCGCGCTGACCCATGATGGCGTTCTCTGCGCTGACGCAGACGGAGAAGTAGAAATTAGGCTTAAGGGCAATTTAGAGAAACTAATCAACCTGACAGTCATGTTTTTGGACTGTGGGGGGAAGCTGGAGAGCCCAGAGAAAACCCATGCCTCCACAGGGAGAACATGCAAACTCCTTGCAGAGCGACTCCAGGTTGGGAATTGAACAGGAACTTCTTGCAACAGTGCTAGCCACTGCACCACCGTGTTAGCTAAAATTTAACTATTTTGGGGAGAGCCTTTCAAGAAAGCGGAGATCTGGAACGCAGGCCTTCTCACACAGTAAGTGTGGCCACAGTTAAAGGTGGAATGTAGAACACTAACACCGAAGCAACTTCTATTGCAGGAGTATTCAATTTTGGTCCTGGAGGTCCGGTATCTAGCATGTTTAGTGATTTCTCTGATTCAATACACTTTAATCACCTGTGCAGCTGCTCATCAGGCTCTGCAGACACCTGTTAAATGGCTTGTATTTGATATAGCGCCTTCTAGAGTCCTGGAACCCCCCAAGGCGCTTTACAACACAATCAGTCATTCACCCATTCACGCACACACATCCACACACCGTTATTCACCTGCTGATTGAAATCAGGTGCTGGATACCAGACCTCGAGGACCAGAAATGAATACCCCTGATCTACCGCAGTGAGTGGAGGTTGTCGTTGCAACACTAGAACAAGGTTTCCAGCCGTCAGGATACCAGGTTTGCTGCCGATACATGACATGTTTTATTTGGGTACTTCTCTTGTTGGCTTCACCTAAACTCACTCTGGTTTTAGATCTTTTATGATCGCTCCTCTTCTGAGAAAGATAACGACATCTTCTGGGCTCAGAAGCAGCTGCTTGACTTACAGAGTCTGCTATTTTCCACAATGCCAGCCTCGCTGTGCCGAGCGGACTGTTTGGCAACCCGCATTGCTACCCTCGTTGTGTCCCTCAAAATAAATATTGGATTATTTTTTTTATTAAAATAAAGCTTTTAAAGGAAATACTGTCCCTTCGTTCTGCGTACCTCTAAATGTGAAGACATTAGTTAGATTTTGAAAAACTGAACTCCTCACTCACAGAGTGAAGAGAGCTGTTTCACTTCAGTAAAGTTAAGCAAACTAATTATTCCGACAGGAACAGTTTTTGAGTAGATTCGTGGATTATGGCTCAAAACGCTGATATGTCAGCTTTCAACCAGGGCAAGTCTCATCTAGGATCTACGGTTCTCTCAGGACTCTGTCTGAAATGGAGAAAGATGAGGATCAGCACCTCCAAATCTGAGACCATGGTTCTCGACCGGGAAAGGGTGGCTTGCCAACTCCGGATCGGGGAGAGGTCCTACCTCAAGTGGAGGAGTTTAAGTATCTCGGGGTCTTGTTCACGAGTGAGGGTAGGAGGGATCGGGAGATCGACAGGCGGATTGGTTCGGCGCCTGCAGTGATGCGGACGCTGAGCCGATCTGTCATGGTGAAGAGGGAGCTGAGCCAGAAAGCCATGCAGGCTCTCGATTTACCGGTCGATCTACGTCCCAATCCTCACCTATGGTCATGAGCTTTGGGTAATGACCGAAAGAACGAGATCGCGGATACAAGCGGCCGAAATGAGTGTCCCCCGTAGGGTGGCCGGGCTCAGCCTTAGAGATAGGGTGAGGAGCTCGGACATTCGGGAGGGACTCAGAGTAGAACCGCTGCTCCTCCGGATCAAAAGGAGTCAGTTGAGGTGCTTTGGGCATCTGGTCAGGATGCCTCTTGGACGCCTCCCTGGGGAGGTGTTTCGGGCATGTCCTGCCGGCAGGAGGCCCCGGGGTCTACCCAGGATCCCTAGTTGGGATGCTGCCCCCGCGACCCGGACCCGGATAAGCGGAGGAAGACGACGACGACGACAGCTTCTCCATTATAAGTGTCACGACAATTTCTGAAATAAACCTGATCGTACCTAAAACTAAAACAGTGATTTTAGAGAAATGGTAAAGATAACAAGGAGCTACAGCAATAGCTGAACGTCTTGTGGCCGCTTTAAAACTGAAGTCTCCAGGTTGAAGTGTGCCATTAAAATGCGATCAGCTGAAAGACTTTGGTGAAAGTTAGAAGGATTTTCCAATGGTCTGAAAAATCACAGAAAAAGCTGAATATCTCAAAAAGTAAAAGAAATACCAAAAGTCATTCTTCAGAAGAGCTGAAAGTTTTGATTCCAAATTTGCTGAAATAGCTGGAAAATTGTGGAAGTAGTTAAAGTGCATGGAATAAATAATAATAATAATAATAATAATAATAATAATAATAATAATAATAAACAGGATCAGTATAGTTTGAATGCTTATACAGCATTTAAACAGTAACAGGATAACAAGCAAAGAAAACATTTACAACAGTAGAACAACCATTACAGGTTATAGGGAGCATTACTGCCTGATTTAGACTTCTTAAAGACCAGCTGTTTATAGACACGTCTACATTTAAAATCAAGTCAATCCACAGTTTTATCTTTTCAACTTCTTGTTGCTTTTTTAATTTTAGGATTAATGCAATTTTAAAATATAATTTTGTCCATTTTAAACATTGAAATGTTTGTTCTTATTTGTGTGAATGGAATTAGCTAATTATCAAGAAAGGTTCAATTATTAATCAAGCACAGCTGTCAACTAGAAAGCTACAGTGAAACATCCTCAGCAGCGTTATTTATCTTGACATCATGACCAGATTGTGCTTTACATTCCTAAAACCAGCATGTTTAGGCTTTATGTCTCAAAGCGGATGTTGTGGCTGCCTTTGCTCTCTTCAGTCTGCTCAGAAACGTTGCTTTTGTTTAAAAATGTTACACAAAAATGAAGAATTGTCCACGAGCAGACACTTTTGTTATGACAAGTGTAACACCAAAGCGTCAGTAAAAGCTTCTGCATTCACGTTTAATGATGCAGAGAAGTCGTTATCTTTAGGGAAATCGGACATATTAGCAGTAAAAGTTAACGTCTCGTTGTCAGCTTCTGGAGACCGGGAGATAAATTTCCTTTGGCGTGATACTAACAGCTCTATTTTTGCTCCCCCTCCTTTCCTCTCTGCCTCTTTCAGCTCACTGAACTGAGTGAAATGTCTTTCCGACTAAATGATTTTTTTTTCACTGTGGGAAAGTTGCCATGGAGACAGCAGTTCCCCCCCCCCCCCCCCCGAGCCCCTCCTCCTCTCATTTTTCTCTCTCAGTCTAGAGCATTAAAGCCGAGTTGTCGCGTCATCTCATGGATGTGTGTGTGTGTGTGTGTGTGTTTAGCTCATATTTTATTGTTAACACTGTTGGTATGTTGCAGGCACCCCTTTATAAGACCACCTGAAACCAAACCATCCTCCTCCTCCTCCTCCTGTCTCAGCTTGTACACCACACTTACACTCGTCCTGCATGAAGCTCTCGCCTCCCTGTTTTAGGTTTTCCCATTTGTGCTCTCCTCCTCCGCCTCCACGCTGGCATCCTCCTTCATTTGTTTAATCCTCTCCCACTCCTCCTCCTCCTCTGTCAATCCCATGCACATGCAGTCTTCCTCCTCAGTCGACTTTCTGCTGAAACGCTGGAGCTGCGAACGGCTACTTGGAGGGAATTTTGGTCTTGGGGGGGGGGGGGTGTGATAGCCACTCAACAAATAATATAAATGATGAAAATATAGAAAGATGGAGATGAGGAAGGAGGAGGCAGATACAGGGAGGCAAAGATGACAAGAAACGGTGCTCTATTTAGGCAAAATGCGGCCACAATAAAGAATTTATGACAAAGTGGCTGAATAATCACACACAACTTAATGCACAGCAGAAAGGCTGAGAGCTCGGTGCCTTAAAACGTTAGATTCAGGCCACCTCTGCAGGAAGAGCATCGTCATGTGGAGTCAAATAAAAAGAGAAAGTCTGGAATGTTGCATTTATTAAAAAAGAAACTTCTGCCTGTGGTGTTTTACGACTCCCATTTCCTGTCCTCCTTCCCTTCACAGTCAGAAAACAAGTCAGAACGACAAGACTGGATGTTACATATCCTTTATTTCCATCATGATTGCTTCAGCCACACCGTCACTTACACATTCACCAACATCCTGTTACCTGAAGTATCGAACCTGACTGAAACAATCACCCCGACTGGATCCCTCCATCAAATTCTCACCATTAACTAATAAAAAAGTAAACTTCTTGAATAAGTTACATATAAAAAAAAAATCCAAAAGAAATCAAAAGAGAATACCAATTTGAGAGAGAGCAACACAGCATAAACAATTCATCATTGTTGTTTGCGACAACAAAGACAAACAACTCCTAGGTCTCGTTTGCGTCGTCATTAGTAGTATTAGTATCAAGTTCATCGTCAGATTTTGCTCAAAGCATCACTTATATAATTTTTCTTGCATCAAGTTGACATCATTCATGTTAATATAAGCATGCAAACATGTTTCCCCGTGACCATTCAGGACTGCACGAACAAGAGGGGACAGCAAGAGGGGGGTGGGGAGGTGATGGGAGGAGTGGGTTTGCAAAGAAAAAGAAAGCCGACAAGATGGAGGGATGTGGGAGCTGGAAGGAGGACTGGGGGAGAAAGGAAAGTAGAGCGGGAAATGGACGAGCGAGGGGGAAAGGGGGAGGATGGCTGGAGGAGAGAAGGAGAAAATGAGTAATCAGATGGTAATCGGACAGACGCAACAGAAAAAGGTGAGGGTGGGATTGCTGACGGGGGGAGGAAGAGAAGAAGGGAATGAGCTTTGTAATATATCACAACATGAGAGCTAAACGGGGTCGACACGAGCAGGGAGGAAAAAGCTGGGGAAAGGAGAATAAAGGGACCTCTGGACCAATAAATCAATGGGAAATTGATTTACACAAACTGATCGATCATCCCGCATCTGTCTCAATACAGCGCGTAACCTGGTGTGTCTGCTTGTTTGATCCAGAGACAAAGAAAGAAGCCAGCTTCCCCTCTCCAAACACTCTCCCGTGCAAAAGTGTGTTAGCGTGTGAGAGGATTACAGGAAAGTGGCAACACTAGCGGCAGCTGTAGTGAGGTGTAGTACTGTTTAGCTGAGGTTCCAGTCATATTAGCAGCGACAGGCATGGCTTTGTACGTCTGTATCGCTTTACACGGCAAGGGCAGGAATCCCAGGCGCCTGCTTTGTCACCACGCCTCCTCCCTGCTGACTTTCTTTCCGGGGATCTAATTTTGTCATTGGCTGTAAAAGACACGTTTTTATTTTATTAGTTGTTGTTTTTTTTCTTAACCGTTGAGTTTCTTCTAACAAATATAAGCAAAACACACCAGCAGTTGTCATTTTCAGTCCCATCTGGATGTTCCCTCCAACATACAGTACACAAATTTAGTGGAAGGAGTACACGATCAACACGGTTACTTACATCAGGCAAAGGGTTCAGGAGGAGAGGAGGGTAGCTGATTCAGAGACAACATAGACAATAAAAACCAATGTCTATGAGAGACAGTGTTCTCCCACCTAGTGCAATGAGGCACAAGTAGTACACACACACACACACACACACCCACGCACACACACTGAATGGCTCCCTTTAAAGACACGAGACAGAAGACAGGTTTGGCTCTAAGACAAGCTTTTTTAGTTCGTGGATGCCCGCATTTCGGTGTGAAGACAGAAAAATGATGCAGAAGGAGGCGAGCACAGATATGTGTGATGCACACACACGGTCACAGTGACTCACAGGCACACACACACTCACACAAGTACAAAACAAACGCCCACAAACACAGAAACACTCACTAATAAGAGCAACACGGACGTGTGTGTCCTTCTGGAGTCCTGTCAGGTACATGATATAGGCTTCTAGACAAAAAATAAAATATCATTTAAAGCATGGCAATGACTCCGTTCTGATATTCTTTTTTTTTTTCTTGAGTAAACCAAAACTTTAAGTCCTGGAATGATAGAAAACTAACAGGGTGGTGACATCGGTGCCTTGCGGGAGACATCCTCTCTCCAGCAGGTGCAGGTCCAATTCCAAACACAGGTCTGACTAAACCTGATTAGTCCTGCATCAGGAAAAGTCTGGCCCTTCGAGAAGGATCTAACTGTCCAGGTCCCTCAGACGCTCACACCATCTCATCCTCAGTGGACGGCATGAATGCGCTTCCTTCCTATTAGATGTTTGTGCATTCTACCACACACACAAGAGCGTAAAATTATAATTAAAAAATACTAATGAGACCCATCAGGACTGGGACGGAACGTGATGAAGAGGGACACATTTCAAGGTAGCATGACATGCTGAGACCAGTGAGTCTGTCCTCATTTTTCACTCGTTTGACATCAATAACGGCCAACTGTCGTCTTTCCTCTGAAAACAGAGGGTGCACACCCAGAAGAAGGGGTCCAGTTGGCTTGGAGAATCCACCAAAGATGTTTTGTCCAGTTAGGTACCAGGTCAGATGCTTTTCCTGTACAGCGCAGCATCTCCTGTAAACTAATGCTGCAAAGAAAACTCCTGACACACAACTTCGTCTTCGTAGTCTGTACGAGTGTGAAACTTTGGTCCTGACTGAAATAACCATTCTGTGATGGCTTTCTTTATCCTTTTTTCTCCTTCTTCTTCCTCTTCTTCGTGTTTTCTAGAAATAAAAGTTCTAGATGAAATACACTAATCTGAAGAACACACAAACTACACACGTTCCACAAACTCTGTGTATTTATGTATGTTAGAAGTGTGTGTGCGTCTCCTTGCTAAATTTCCAGTAACACCAGTTCTATTGGTTCAGTCGTGTGTGTGTCGTGTGCAGTTTGACGATCAACCCATAACTCGTGATGGATGATTTTTTTCCCCCTTCTTCTCCAGCTCAGTAAAGACAGCACAAGAGTTGGAGTTTTTCATTAGCAGGAGCAAAACGGCACTAGCGGTTGGATACTAGCAGTGTCTCCGCGTGTCTCCGTCTTTGATGGAGAGAATTATTCACAGATGAGAGGAAAAAAAGGAAAGTTTGAAGCCGTTGAGATGATAATGACCTGAGGAAAGAGGGAAAAGGAGGAAGGAGAGGCAGATTAAGCACGTGTGAGACAGTGGGGGACGAGATAATATATAAACAGCAGGCAGCAGTGGAAGTGATCTAGATTACTGTATACAGATGCTGGTGCCTCAGAGCTCCAGCATCTAAAAACTTGACTGCCTCCACTTTATCGCGCGCTCACAGTTTGGTCATGCTTTTTAGGACTTGACTGGTTTCCTGTGTTAATCTGACAGGATTGGCTCTGCCACACAGAAAGTGGACGTGTGCAGGATTTAGAGTCCAAGGCCCAACATACTCCCCTCAGAGTTTGTGTTTAAAGTCTGGAAGGACTATCTCTGTTCACACATTAACACATAGGGTTTAATAAGAAACACAAAAATACCCACGCAGGGTCAGTGTTGATGCTACAGGGACACACAGAGAAAACTGACAATGATGCATAACTAAACTTCTAACTGGGGGATGTTTTAGTTGAAGCACAATTTAAACACGTTGTAGTGTTCCCGAGTGCTGAAATGTTAAACTATAATGTCAGTGGTTTTATTTCCTACATTTCTAGTGGGCAGATACGGGATCCAGGCGATACGAGAATGACAAGATAACATTTCGTTTCTGACTCTAAGCTTTTTTAATTCTCTTAACTGAAACCGTTTCCCTGAATAGAGGAAGGCCAGCATCCCAGGAGAGCTCCCTTTAAGGAACAGTAAAGAAAGCCATTCCTGCCCTCTAAACTACGGCATGTGGCAATATGGTTCATAAGTGAAAGCTGAACAGACATGGACACAAAACACAAGTCTCCAGGTTAACGCCTTTGTTCAGGCTGAATTTGGAACACATCAGTGTAATTTTTAAGTTTGAAACTGGGCGTGGCTAACAGGTCAAGGTGCGTCGCTAGCTGGGCTACTTAAGAGCAGTGACCTTAAATAACCAGAAGAGAAGTCTTTCTGAATGTCAAGTCTAATGAATCAGGAATGTCCCACGCTAAGCCCACCCGTAGGTGAGATTACATCATTGCTACACGAAATTAATACCTTAACAATTAACAGTGAAATCAATTATCTGCATTTCTCTATAAAATGCAAAGTTCTGCATCAATCCATTTAATAAAAGATATTTTGGATCCACTAAGGAAAATCGTAATCTAACAGCTGAAAAGTCTCCCAGCCTTCCTTAGTGTCTACAGGGGTGATTCATCACCACATTAAACAAATCAGCTGTGTTCATGATCTAAAACATGCAGAAAACATGCTGGAAGCAGACTGCAACATGTGCAGGTAACCCAGCTACATTTTTTTTCCAACCCGGACCGGCACCTCAGAGGTTGCATTTGGAATATTCTGGCCACATGGGGGCGATAAGGGCTGGATGGCCTTTCATTTACCATGTAAAGGTGTTTTTAGCACATACTGGCTCAAAAATGATTCAAAAAAATGAAGAAGTTGCAAAGTATCTCTTTAGGTTCTGATTTCAGCACGATGCCTGGTTCCCCTTAACCCTCTAAGGCTCAAAATAAGTTTTGATAAAAGGATGAACAACTAAGTCCTTCAGGGGTACTTCTGAGTTAAAAAATGCTCATGAAATATGTATGTGGAGTAACCAGGTAGGTAGGTTTTAACGTTGCTAATCTGCAACGCCTGCCTCCAGAGGGTTAAGCGGTTATTGCTTTTGTTATTAAATAACTATTTTCCATTTATCCATTAAAGGAGTCTGGAGAAATCCTGCTAGCTGCAGATAACTTGATAAAATTGAAGCAATAACTGTTTTAGCAGATGCATGAAGCCATAGCAGGCATGTGCATACACATGAGGCATTACTGAGAACAAAATGTCTCCTAAATCTCAAAACCATAAACAAACCACTTTTGGCATTTGTCTGACAAGTGCTGATGCAGCACAAATAGTTAGTTTTGTGACATATCTGCGTTAGTCCAGGATGGTCCACTTTCCCATGAAGTCATGGCATTTTTGCACCGTATAAGGCTTCAGAATAATCATCCAATTACAACAGTCATGAACATAACAAGGAAAATATCCAATGCAATAAATCTACACCCTCTTTTTTCATCTGTTGCCTGGACAACAGCACTGTGTGTTTGCATTTCAGCCACTAACATCTGATGTGGCAATGACCATTTAGAGCATACGTATGCCGTTTGGGTCTGTCATTTACCGCTATCCTTACATTTCACATATTAATATTTCAGTGACAATAATATTTCTAGATATTGTGCAGACCTCATATAAAAAGATCCTAACCAAGAAGAAAGAATATTCCTCAGCTGACATATAAAGTAAGAAGAGACTCACTGTTTTAATCAGAGTGGGGGCTGTCCACCACAATATGTGGCTTCGGGGAGGATGCTGCAGGACTCTTTGACACAAATGTTGCAATTGCTTTTTCCTACAAGAAAGAGAAAAAAAACAAAGAAAGAAAATAAATAAACAAAACAAAACAATAACAGATTTTCTCTTCAAGCTTGTGGCAAAATTAACATGTTTGATATTTAGTTTATTCTGTGAAAATACCTTTTGAACACCTATAATTTGACAATCATTTATACATTTTTACATTTGTTACCAGTCAGAGAGAAAATAGTTTTGTTATTTCAAATGAATCCCAAAAGCAACAACTCTAACTTTAGCCATTCTAAATATAACAAAACCACCCTTTTGTAGTTTTATTTACATTAAATATCACTCTAAGGCTTCTGAAGGTGATACAACAGATAGAATGTGATTCTTTTTTTTTTTGTCGACATTAGTTTAACTTTGTTGTCTCCAAAGTTACGGCAAAGGGGAAATCATAATCTCCCAGCTTATAACGAACATGTTGTCTGTAATTAAAGCTTCCTGTTGGAGGGGACCACTCTAAGCCACGGCCTTTGGCCATCAAAACGTGTAAAAGAAGAATTTTTAACATTTGTCTTTTCCTCAGCGTTGTCTCTAACCCTGCAGTCATAAATGGTAAAACTGCAAAAAGACCAACAAATCAGGCATAGATTCCAGGCAAAAAGGGATAAATGTCAACACACTGATGTTTTATTCGCAAATAAAAACCCAGAGAAGGCATATGTAGTGATGGTTGGCCATTAGATACATTTAAAATGCTCCTATTGTTTTTGTTAACACCACACTAGACTTTAACGAAGTAGCCTCATTTATGTGAGTGTCCATTTCCCTGAACCGTGTCAAACTATAAGAAACTAAATACGACTGAAGTGGTGCTACCGGAGGATTTTGTTACATAAACTAACTTTGGATGAAGCTGTTTTTCAGTCAGAACGGTCTCAAACCAATAATGCCTGTGACCTAGGTTGTTTTGACAAGAACCATTAATAAACTGGGTAGTTTGAGTAATTAGTCCGTTACACATCACGAGTAAAAACAATGAGTTGAGACAGATTTTCTGTGCAGATAAAACAACAAAATATAGTCGGTCCAGAACAGAGTAGAAATGTTGAAAATTTCCAAAGAATATAGTTTTATTTGAGATTTTAAAGAGGGCATCAGAAACTGGTGCAAAGACCTGCGATACCCATGATGCATTGTGTAAATAATTTATAGAGACTTCTATGGGCTTCAAATAAAAATGACTGTGGCTCGTGTCTGGCTTTCAAACTGTTTAGGCTGCAGGGTGAGTTTTCCTAGAAAACAATAATAAAATATATACATGTCTATTTGTCAAGGCTGGAGGGAACATCATATTTGCCTTTAAGAAAATGTGTCTTTTTGTTGCAGTTTACTCAGTAAAGCCACTCATAATCATCTCTTACAGTAATAAGAAAAGACAGAACCAATAAAGCTGGTTGGAGCATACTTTGGACCAGTCTGTAAGTAACCTTCTGTTAACTTTACTGCCAAAACTTTTCCTTTTGTTTGTTTGTTTCTTTCTTTGTTTCTTTGTTTGTTTGTTTGTTTGTTTGTTTCTTTCTTTCTTTCTTTCTTTCTTTCTTTCTTTCTTTCTTTCTTTCTTTCTTTCTTTCTTTCTTTCTTTCTTTCTTTCTTTCTTTCTTTCTTTCTTTCTTTCTTTCTTTCTTTCTTTCTTTCTTTCGCCTTCGAAGTGACCCTAATGTGCTTTTGTGTGACTCATCTGAGCTGGATTTAAAGGTGTGGTTCACTTGTTTAGTCCATACATTTGCAGTGGTCTCTAGTAGGAATGAATACCTTGTAAGTCGGAAGGAAAATATATACCGGTGCACCAGACTAGAATTGAGCTACATCACAGCTGAGCTTCAAACAACATAATTTAGAGTCTTATTTCCTGGCATTTGGATATGTCACCTGAGATTTGATTACCGCAACGTGAGTCTACCAGTGACTTACAATGCTGATGTTTTATCTCCACAAATAACACAAGCATGGAGGAGCTACTGCTGTGTGGTAAAGTTGCTAATGCTAGCGATTAGCTTCAACTAGCCGATACGTTACCTGCTGTTTCCTGGATGCTAAACAAACAACAACCGTATTGGGAAGTCCATAAATGTTAAGCGACAGTGTGACGTGGATCTGTCAGGATTTTTTAATCCTAGAGTTTTACCGTCTATTTTCTATTAGAAGCTAATGCAGGAGACAGGTTCAGGAGACTGTTGTCATGTTCAGCCAGCATGAAAACCTCAAAGTGACCAATTATAATCAGAAATGACAACTGAAAAAGGTTTTTCTGTGTTCCACACCTTTAAAGGGTTTTGGATGTCATAACTCCAAATATTGACCCTAAATGTAATACATCGTTTACTCTTTTTTTTTCTTTGACTTGAGCGTAAAACCTGATACTGTTCATATCTTTACGATGCTGCTTCTAGGACTGAAACATATTGTAAGACAAGCGTCAGCTTGGGTATCATCCTGAGCACCGTGGGAATAATGAGACAGAAAAATGTGTACACTGGAGAAGATCACACCGATGCACCTCACCTCAACAAGCTGATGCCAGTGCTCTATTGGTTTACGTGGATTGGCTAGCATGGCCGTCCAGTGCTCCCTCCCGGGACCGTCAGCCTCGCTGCCTACACGGCACATTCCTATAACCTCGTTATGACCGATGCTGACACACAGTGATGGAAGGAAGAGAGGGACAGGGATTTATAAAAATGGGTTAGAGCAAAGTCAGGGCTGCTAAAAACACGCTCATTTATCAACTTTGAGCTTTGGGAAAAGGGATTTTGGAAGGATACTGAATAGCAGCTCGGAAGTACAGCTATGGATAAAAGCTTGATACTGAAGGGGAAGCAGACAAACAGCACACAGCTATGGAGATGCCAAATGGCGTGTCTGCACAACATAATAGGGAGGCGGCGCGTTTATACACAAACACATAAACCAGCCAAGTGTTGCTGCAAGCGACGGTGAGATAAATATTGGCAGGGCTGCACATCTTCCTTCTCCATTAGCATAAATCATGCTTATTCATGAGGTGCCATCTATGTAAAACAGGGATCATTCACCAGGAGGCTGACTCTTGAGAGGGACCGCCAACATGTTCAACACATCCTCAACACCATCGAAAAGCGGCGGCCCAAAATCAACATCATGCTGCATGCACAGAACGTTTGACAAACAGCTCCTTGGCGGTAATGATCAGTTTGTTCTTAAGAGTGCCTGAAGCATGCAAAGATAAAATAACACCTCGGCTTGCTCACCAATCATAATCCATCACAGCAATGACGATGGATACGCTCTCTATGTTTTCATTGGGAATGTCAAACACCAACGCCTCGTTGTACGTAGGATTCAGGGTGTTCTTCTTAATGGAAGTCTTCCTCTTTTTTAGCCTTCGGCCATCACATACCAGAGAGGCCTTCACATATGGGTCTGAAGCCAAGACAGCAAAACAAAGATGGGGGAGGGGCAACAAAGGGAAGACATAGATCAGAATTAGGAAAAAAAAAAAGTGGAAAAAGAACTTGGAGACTGAGAGAGAAACAGAGAGTGTGAGATAAGAGTTCCCAGGTATCTGCATCTGTGACACATAAAAGCCATAAGAATCGAGCCATCCTGGCTATGATGGATTAGAAACACAAAGAGAGAAAAGCAGCACTGGATAAATCACTTTAGTTCTGCATGCAACATGTGCAGCTGAGGGGCAGCAGCCAGGAGGAATCACACACACCATCCAGCATCGTACAATACTCCTGTGTAAACTCTTACTCTAGACTTGGCCTAAAATACATCAACAACAGCAGATTGTCTTTTAAAGAGGGTCTAGAACAAGTCCTTCTACAGTTGCAAACCGTTCTTTAAGCCCCTATAAAACATATAAACACTGTTGGGGCTCACAAGCGCCCAGGAGCCCTGATAAAAGGCCAAAACAACCCATAAATAAGCCTTGTAACGGAAAGACTGGTGTACCCAACCCACTCAGCCAGGACGTCAATAATTTAATAATCTGCATGCTGATTGGCTGGTTTACGCCGATGGATTTTTGACTGCCAGAAGCTTGAAACTAGTGTGCAGCCATGTTCATTAAACGGACAAGCTATGGATCTACCTGACATTTAGTCAAAGTCTGAATATTCCCAGCACATCCTGGAATGTTTCTTCCTCAGCATTTTTCACACTTTTTTAATGGTTCTCACAGTTCAAGATTTCTTCTCTAACTATCCTCAGTAATCCCAAAATCAACCAAAATTCTGCTTGAACATTTGTAAGGCACTCATGTCATGAAACATGTTTTTGACAACATAACCACAATTATTCCATAAACTGGGCAGATTTTTCTTCCATATTTGCAGATGAAACACTTTTGTCAATAATCATTTTAAAGGTACATTGAGTAACTTTGTCACATTTTTAAATCATTTTCTTGAGCCAGTTGGTGCTAAAATGTTCCGAACAGGGTGGTTGCTCAGCTCTCTGTGCTCCTTGTGGGCAGAATACTGCATTTGCATCATGAGCCTCTCTGGACTGGTGACCTGGAGCCGTAAGTCACTTATCTGGATAGAAGCAGTAACGCTTTACATTGGTTTACACGTCAGAGCCATAGGTTTCTCATTTAGGGCAGAAAATTCCCGTAAATGCTGTTTTTGTATTTTCCTGGAATTGTCCCATATCATGTACATTGAAAACATTTTGCAAGAGTCGACAGTGAGAAAGCGTTTTCTGAATGGCGAGGGACAAATAACTTAAATTGAATGCAGACCTCAGGATCATGCTATTACACTTGTAAATATAACTTTAGAATGGGGTCAGCTGGTTTGTAGCGGTGGGGAGGGGAGAACTGCTCGTTTTCACATCAAGAATTAAAAACGGACTGTTGGGGTGTTAAAGCAAGGCAAAACTGCCTGTCCTTTTAAATGATGCAATAAAAACATATCATGAGGCAATAATCAAACATTCAAGCAGGCATCTTCAGCTTTGTTAAAAATTTGGTGACAAAACGTAACATGTATTAATAATTATGGGTTGTGCTGCGGTGCGCACCGTCCGCACGGAGAGTCCTGTGTTCATGATAAAAATTTTCCTGCCCAAACTCTTTAACATGGGAAGTGCCTGGCTAAATTAGCCCACACTTCAGGACTTTAGTTTGTCTCATGTCCTCATAAACGCAACTTGTTGTACTCTGTAAAATGCATGATTCAGTTTCTTTGTAACATGAAAAATGTGTTTTGCAAAACTCGTGCAGAAAAATATTGCAGATCACTTATGAAACACTGAAGCTTACAATTTATTTAAGAAATTACGACATCATATTCATGGCAGCGATTAAGTCCCATTAATCATCATCACACTGGTGAACTTACATCTCTGCATTGGACCCATCCCCGTGGGGAGTGGTGAGCTGCAGCAGTGGCTGCGCTCGGGAACTATTTGGTGGTTTAGCTCTTTGAAGCTGAGTGTCAAGCAAGGAGGCATTGGGTTTCATTTATAACCCTCTGGAGGCAGGCACTGCAGATTAGCAACGTTAAAACCTACCTACCTGGTTACTCCACATACGTATTTCATGAGCATTTTTAACTCAGAAGTACCCCTGAAGGACTTGGTTGTTCATCCTTTTATCAAAACTTATTTTGAGCCTGTGAGGGTTAAAGTCTGTGGTTTGACCCAACCATATTTGAACCCCAACCTCCCAGTCCCAAGGCGGATGCTCTACCACAGTGGTGTCAAACTCAAATTCACACTGGGACGAAATGAAAATCTGGGACGAAGTTGCGGCCAAACTTCAAATATTTTGAAAAAGTGACGGCAAATTAGCACTTTTTTCTTTTTCATTATATATGCAATTTTGAACCTTTTAATTTGGAAACAAACTTATTTTTGCTTTTACACTGAATGTGGAATAACCAAATTACACACAAGCAAGTACATTTTAAATAAAACACATCAGTGGTATTCGTTACTTGTGGTATATTCAGCATTTTTAAAATCTATTCAGGATTTATGTTTTCTTGTTTATTAATTTTTCTTTTTTTTCTCTCCTGTAATATGTGCCATCGCTGCTGTGACAGCTTTCCCCACAGAGGAACAATAAAGGGATTTTCTATTCTATTCATGTATCTGCAGCCTCTTCAGTTCCTGTTTACTGTAGGTTAAATCTTTTTTCACGGGCCAACAACAAAATAAAAATATTATTTTATCTTAAATGAAAATGCAAAATCTCACCTGTTAACTTTCATGTTTTGGAGAAGAAAAAGAGCATAAAACCTAAATATTTAAAGCTCAGTTTGCTCCACTGATTTACTGTGATGCTCACCTGTTCCAGCCAGATACCTGCATCATGGGGTTGAGGAGCTCTGAGCTGAGGAGGAGACTCCTGTTGTTTTGTTCATCTTCATCATAATTATGAAAACATTAGATGACAGCATGTGCTCACATAGGTTTGTGCTGATGAACATGTCTGAGCAGCTTGACCACGTTGTGTGTCGGGGAGGAAAAAGAAAAACTACAGCAGCCACAGAGCAGTGGCGGTTTTGCCATTAGGCATAGGTCGGCGGCCGCCTGGGGCCCCCTTGTGTTGGGGGGCCCCCCTAGCCCTGACCGCCAGCACCCCTCTGTTAATGCCACAATATTCTTATTACCAACCTGTTGCCGCAGACGGACATGGACATGTGCAATTCTCATTGCCATAATTCCGGAACCGTTCAAGATATCATTAAATTTTGAAAAGTGCTGAAAAGATTAAAAATGGGGCATTTTGTGCATATACAATACATTAAGGTAGTCACCGGCATTCCCTGTCTTGAGCGCAACAAATCTTCATGCATATACAACACAGATTCAGAGACGGGCTGAGTTTGCCATCCCAAATGCTTCATTTTATAACTTTTGAATGGCTGATCAGATTCGAAAAATTTCAACGGTTCCTAAAAGTACATAAAAGCAGCTTTCCAACGATCTATAGCATGAAGCAATCAGAGTTATGAAGAATATAGCTACGAGGGGAAATCCTGCTGTACAGCCTGATTGAAACGGAGCACAGCAGAGCTCAGCGTCGCAGTGAAAGCGGATAATGGAACGGGGAAGCTAATTAGTATAAAAAGCCGGCATGAAATTATGGAAATACCTCAAAGAAAATCAACACGATCTATTAGGTGTGCCAGAAGGCTTATATCTGAAGACAGTGACCACGAAGAAGGACAGATCTCCAGTGAACCAGGGTATGAATGTTTGTTCTGTCTTTATTTTTTATTTTTTTATTTGAACAACCCTCAACTATTTGCTAATTGTAAGATTCAGCTTCATTCCAGCATTGTTTATCTCTTTACAATAAATAATTATTTTTGCTAAAAACAAAAGTTTTTGGTATAGCAGTGCACAGTGTGCAAGAGAAGCACCCCATGGCGGTGTGAGGTGTGCAGGACTCTGCCTGCAGCTGGAGAGAAACTGCTTCAAGGTCTACCACATCAAATAAAAACGTCTGAAAGTTTACAAAAATAAATTGTCTTAAAAACTGCTAAAAAGATACCAAGGTTCACACTTTTTTTAAGAATAGATGCATTACAGTTCAAAGTTTAAATTGTTCATTCCAAATAGTTTGCCCAGTAATTTTGAAGTTCCTGTTCAGTAATAAATGTAAAAAAATCAAATCCTTTTTTTGCTTTTTTCACTTTGAAGCTGATTTTTTAAAGGCTTTAATAGAAATAAATTCTAAATACAAACCATACACTAAACTCTGAGATTGTTCTGAAAAAAGGAGAAGCTATGGATCACACTTTGCGCTTTTTATTACAATTTTACAGCCATAAGATTAAAAAATACCAGGCGGCCCTGTTATAATTATGGTCATAAGAGGGTTATTAAGATGGCGATGCACAAACATGAAGTGATTGGTAGTAATTCCACTCCAATCCAGTTGGTGGTGGTAATGCACCAAATGGTTTGTTGCCAAGTGCCATAAGACCACAAATTAGAAGAAGAAGAGAGGCTGGAGCGTTTGTAACAAATTCAAAGTGATAGTCAAAACATGAAGCATGAAATTGAGTTATCCTTGTGGCTCCAATAAGAGAAAGAAGCAGCGTGCTTCATAAAAGCTTTTATTTTCACTTCTGAAAGTGACGTCGTTTTTCGATGTAAACATCAAAAGGAAGCAGAAAGACAATGGAAAATATTTAAAGGGAGGAAAACATAGACCAAAATGGAAAAAAGGAAAAAATAAAGCACAGGAGCACTGACAGGAAAAAGAAAGCAGAGCAAATATTGAAAGCACTCAAAGGGAGGGAAATATAGGAAAAAAGAGGAGGACTAATAAAAAGGGAAAATAACTCATGTCAGAAGAGGGGAGTTTCACAAATCCATTTAAAGGTAAGATTGTCGAAAATTTAGTGTAAGGGGCCCCATGTCTGTGTTTGCCTTGGGCCCCCAAATTGCTAAATCCGCCACTGCCACAGAGTCATGATGATTTTCTGCGTGCTGCTGCTCACTGGAGTTATATCAGCTCTGTCTGGAAGTTAGTTGGAAAACTTTTTCTTTCAGTCATGAACACATTACTGAGCGGTTCAAATCTCAGTTTCTGGGCTTCAATGTCGGATAATAGCCGAGTAAACCCAGCGCTGAGTGAGAGGAGTGTTTAGTTTGTCCGAGACAGCGGAGCTGCAGACACCGGCAGCAGATGCTGGAAAAAACACAAAGGAGGGCGCGCTTCGGCTCCGCGCTGACGCCGCAAAGCATTACGGGAGTTGTCGTCTTTGCGGTAAAATCGGCCAGCGGGTCAGTTTTAATATATTTTTGATATTTATCTCGCTAGCCACATAAAAATGCTCCGTGGGCCACATCTAGCCTGTGGGCCTTGTGTCTGACACATGTGGTCTACCACTGGGCCAATCACCGCTGACTACCAGTCAAAAGCACATAGAGGCAAAAAATACATAGAAAAGCAATATGTGCATGTGTGACTCATTTACCTGAGAAACCAGTCAGGTCCATGGCTTTGAGGTTGGTGGCCTTGATGATTGTAGCCGTGAGCCTGCCTGCAGTGGGCAGGTAACACAGCGAGAAATTAAGCTCCCCGAGATCGGCCTTCTCCTGCGGATCGTTACAAACAGGGATCAGAACAAAGCCAGAATGATGTTTTAGCACACACACACACACACATACACACACGCACGCACGCACGCACGCACGCACACACACACACACACACACACACACACACACACACAAGAGACAGCTTAACACTTTGATTATCTGAGGGCTGAAACAGAGCTGCTTCACTGACTGATGGTGGGTGACAGCAGAAGTCTGAACACGGACAGGAAGTGTTTAAGCAGAGTGAAAGTGCCGTCTCTCTAAATGAATCATATGCTAATCTGTCAAAGGCCCATGGAGGAAAGTGTTAAGTAGAGGAAACAATTCCCCAGACTTTTTATGTCTTATCGCTCCCTCTTCTCCCATCCAGTGATCGTCCTGCTGCTGGTGGTCTCAGTGGAGCCGGAGTTATAGACTCCTGGTGCTCAGGTCTCCCCGTGGTGTGACGACTCCTCAGTGGCTTTGAGCCTCAGTAATCAATACATCCTGAGGTGAAACACTGAAATACGCTGCAATGCTAATGCTTTAAACTTAATAAATTAAACCCCCATGCCAAAAGTTTTTTAAAGCCTTGGTCGATGTAATTTGCTTAATAGTCTTCTATGAATATTTCATATAAATCTACTTGGACGCAGCCCAATAAAAAGTTTGGAAGTGGCCATCTGAGCCTTTCCAGTAATCTATCTGGACTCTCCCAAAGTAATCTCTTCACATGAGCAGACTTTGAATTAATTTATACAGCAGGCAGTCTCTTTTCTTTACAGATTGCTCCTCAGAGGAGAGACAGCATGCTTTTATTCATCTGACTCTCAGAAGAAAATGAATTAAATGGGAAAATGGAACAAAAAAGCAGCCAAGGTCCATGCAAATACTCCAAAAGAGCAATAAAAGGTAAATTAGCAGGGACTGTTGTAGCCAGACAAACCAAGACTGTCTGGCCTTTTAGGAGCAAAGTCATGAGAAATGAAAGATGACTCAAGACTACTGAATAGATTATCGGCCATCCTGAGTCTTCTACAAACAGCGCAGTGATGCATTTAAGCAAACAATTACGGTAATGAAGAATTGTTATGAGGCACAAGTTAAGGGCATCCCATAAATACCCCTGATGTCCAAATGATTGAGTCAGTTTGAGATGACAGTCGTCTAAAAACCTGCAAAAGCTTCAGTGCAAAACTATGGCAAGACAAGGAACTGAGTTTGTTGATAGGCTGTTTCCACCAGGACTATTTTAGATGTGACACACTCTAAGAAAGAGAAATGTGTTTATTCCACGATTATCTCTGGCTTTCTTTACCCAACATGACTTTCCAGAGCTGATGCGTTACATTATGTTTATGTTAGCTGTTGGCTTTGGCCGTAAGCTAGCATAAGTCAGCTAGCGCTGTTGTTGCCTCATTTTACTGCATTATTAAGCAGCTGTTGGGATTATTGCTGCAACGTTTACATTTTATGTTGCAGTCTTAATAAATCAGTTAGGTATTTCTGTCGGGTGAATTTTGGTGATGAATTATTTTTGTGTTCATCTCCTGCAGTTAGTTTTTAATTTAGGAACGATATAATTTATGGTCAGAGGCAAAATTACACAAATTGAATAAAATCTGTACAGAAATTGTAGTAAATGTACAGTGTTGGTTCTCTTATATTTTCTTTTGGGATGTTAAATAATAAAAGTAAAAGTCGTAACAATAATTATTGGAAATCTCAACAAAATGTTTACACATATATTTTTTGCTCATTCGTAATTTTAAACTATTATCATTAGTCTCGAATGTATCTTTTAAATGCTTGTTGAACTGTCTCTAAAACAAGCTCATTTTTTCATTTTACATTCTGATGCCAGTTTATTTCTACAATCTACAAAGCTGTGGTTCATTTGACCACTGTTAAAGTTACTGGGTCAGGTCTGTACACCTGAGGTCTAGCATCGCCACAACTCTCTGATAACCACATCTTCACTGAGCATCCCTCAAGGCTTACTGCATGGCCCTCAACGATGTCCCTCCAGACAGGTTTGTCCCCGCTGTCCTCGCTGAAGTCCAGCAGGTTTTCCACCACCACTTGGCCAATCAGGTCGTGTCTGGAGAAACGGTCGAAGTCGTACACAGAGAAATGCAGCTTCCTGGAATGTAGCTCGTTCAGCGGCACGCCGAACTGGAACGTCTCGTTGAACACCGGGTTTAAGGTCTTTCTGTGGACCTGAGAAGAACACAAGAGCTGATGTCATTACTTCAGATGAGAACGTGTACAAAATGAACATGTTTAACAGGAATAAGAGCAGAGATCATTAAGGCAACTTACTAAATAAATAAGTTTTAAAACATTTCATGAATATTTCATCCCCTAGAAAATGTAAAAAGTGGTTGATCTTATATTTTAATTTCACCGACTTTTACAATGACCGATTTAAACATTTGTCATACAGCATCCATGTTTGATTATATTAAAAGTTTGCCTGAGAAATTAAAATGGAAAAAGATTTGATTAAACTTTACTTTTCCTACGCATTTATAAATACCTAATTTATACAGCCTGTACTGAATAATTACAGAGTAATATGAACATTGTAAGCCACAGTTTCACGCTTTAATAATCAGTTGTGTCACTGATTTAAATGATTTTTTATTCCACCTATGATCCAAGGTTTTCTAAAGGGCTGAAATAATAAACCTGCTGCTTTAAACGTGCTTCTTCAACCAGGAAGAAAACACTTAAAGACAAAACGTTCATCCTGGGTGTGACATAAATGCATATAAATAAATACATTTATAAACATGCCCACTTTGGATGGTAGGAGTTTTGCTGTAACTGGTAAAAAAAAACACTTTCCCTTGAAAACAGACTTAGTTCTTGGCACTGAATTATTACTGTGATATTCTTTTTCCTTGATATTTGTTTCCATATTCAGTGTTTGTTTTCTCTCTTTGCCTTTTGTTTCAGTTTGAGGCAAACACTAAAACTTTAAGCTTTGTTAAAAACAAGCTGAAATGATAAAATAAACCACTTGTGTCTGATCCTGGTGTTTGGAGACCAGCCTTCATGTTTTAGAAGTGTCCTTACCTTAACACACCTGGTTTAAATCAGAGGTTGAATACCATAAAGCTGCAACGCTTAAAGAGCTAATTCATCTATAGAAAAAATGCACTGCAGAAAGGACACTAACTAACACATGCAGAATGGTTTACTGTAACTGCATTTTCAAAATAAAGTTCAAACAATACAGAAAGGTTTATTTTGAAAAGGCTGTAGTGCTCAAAGACCAAATTTATTGGCGTTTTCCATTCATTTGTGTTGGTCTCTAGTATAAATGGAAACCTTGAGGGAAAAATGCTCTTGTGCTCCTTTTTCAGGGACTAGAAGTGAGCCAGAGCAGAGGTGTGTAGCAGGCAGCAGGACTTTGAGTCTCATTTCCTATTTGCACATCTCGTCTCTGATTGGATAACAGCAACACGGCTCTCCCACTGACTCCATTTGCTCTGCAATGTTGATGCTTTATCTCCACAAATAACACAAGCCTGAAGGAGTTCTGCTGTGTCGTGAACTTGATAATGCAAACGATTACCTTCTATTAGCTAGGAGATGCTATGTTCGCTCCTAGACGCTAAATCAACAACAACCTTTCCCGTCACAAGTCAAGATGGGTGAGTCCATGAACGCTAATTTAGCCATATGACGTGAAATTACCTGGCTTTGCTAATCTGAGAATTTCCTTGTCAATTTTCTTTTGGTGGCCAATGCAGAAAATAGGGGTAGAAGACTATTTTCACATTTAGCTTGCATGTTAAATGTATTTCAGACATTTCAGCGTATTTTAAAAAGAGCATTTAAGAAATGGTTTCTCAGTGAACTAAGCCTTTAAATCAGGGATTCCCAAAGTGTGGTGCGCGCACCCCTGGGGGTGCGCGAGCTGCCGCTAGGGGGTGCGCGAGGTGAGAAGTGTAATGGCTGCGGAGCTCAGAGAAGTCTGTCATATGTCACCATTAGCGTAGAAACTCATTTGTGGGTGGGCCAAAGAAAAAGTAAGTGGGCACAATAAATGTAATTGAAAACAAGTATATTTTGCGCGCGCGCGTGTCCTCCACATGTGCCCTAGCTTCATAATAACAATGCGCCGAGCTTCAGCACTCTGGCCTGCGCACACCGATATGTTCCGTATTTGATCATTTTTAACGGTGTTGGAGAAATCTGAAGGTGGCGAGTCATTCTGGCAGATTGTAATTAACACCTGTCTCATGCAGGTGTTCTGACATTGTAAACCTCACACACAGAACATTGTGGATGTAACAAAATAACAAGAAATGATTCCCATTCAGGCTATTAACAGCGCGCTGAAGATCTGAAGTTCAGAGTGCGTCTGTCAGAGGTCAGACGTGTTCCAGCGGAACCACGGCTCACGGGTGTACAAGTGAGCACATCTGGGCTGGGCAGAAGTCATTTTACAACATTGGTTTAAATAGCGCGAGACGCGTTAACTTGAGCGGCTGTGCCGCGCGCGCGCACACACACAGATTCAATAAGCGCACACGCTGCTTTAACTCCGGCCCGCTGTCAGACTGAAGGCAGAAATGAACTCTGCCTCCAACGTGATAAAAACTTTTAAGAGGTTATTTTTCATTCAAGGTCAAATTAAGATATTAGCTTCTGGGATGAGTCGGTCCGCTCCAGCCAGTGACTCCGAACCTGACCACAAGTCCTGTTACTGCAGCATTTGTTATTCCAGTCCGCATGACAGCGGATAGCAGATTCAGCCACACCATAAAACAGCAATAAGTCGGTCTGAGGCAAAAGTGAACATCATGGCTATATCTTGTCCCCTATTGACATTTGATTACGCACAAGTAGGTGATCAGCTCAGGTTTACGCAGAGCAGAGGGAAGGAGAGCGCTCTGGCTGCACAGGTTAAACGTTCCTTGTTTATGTGCTACCTGGGCACTCTAAATATTTATTCAAAATGAAATCAAAGGAAATTGTAATGGTATCGAATTAATTAATTAATTAAAAATAATTATTAATTACTATTTAAAAAATGAAAGTGATGGGGAATTCTTTTAACCCTTTCTGTTTAGCTTGACATCTGATATATATATATATATATATATATATATATATATATATATATATATATATAGCCATGCCCCGATGTGGGGGCTGGGGGGGGGGGGGGGGGGGGGCGTCGACATGGTCGGGACATAGAAGGGGGTGCGCGGCTAAATAAGTTTGGGAACCACTGCTTTAAATAAAACCTAGGAGTTGGTGCTGAAAAAAATAAAAATAAAAAACAATCCCCCCTAGTGGTTGGTTCCAGTACAAGTTTGATGAATGGGACATTTTCCTCACTAAAAAAATTATTCTCATGGCTTCACTTCGCAACTACAGAAGAAGATGCTTACAGCTTCACCTTGTCTATACACTTTATATATTTGTTTGCACTGCGAATGCAAAAGTTCATTTTTAAAAGAATTTTGCACTTATAAAAATGCTATCATACTGCACATACACAGGCTAGTTGTTTCTTAGCTACAGCACACTCAATTCAGTGGTTAATGACCTCTTCAGCAGGCTGTCGAATTCTGCAGAAATCTGTTAATTAACTGTGTTAGAAAACCATCTCAAACATAAAGCACGGTGGCCTTCGCTAAAAAGCTGCCAGCCTCTTTTTAAGCCTTCAAAACGGCTTATAAAGTCAATCTCCAGCAAACTGCAAAAAATACGTTTATATCACACAAACCTTTTACCTCAAGGCACAGAACGAGATGGATTTTGATCAACGCTGTGACCGATGTTAAACTGTCCTTGAGCAATGCGATTAACCTTCAACACAAAGGCTGACCTTGTTCATCTCACATGGACAAAAGTGAATTCTCAGTTTTTGAGGAGGAAAATCAAATCTGTCCAGAAAAATGAAATAAATCAAAACCGAGTTTAAAGTCTGTTCCATTTTGCAGAAGTTCTGTCTTTTACTAACTTACTCCTATTTTTGTGTAGAAATTCTTTCGTAGGTGGGACCAACGTAGAATAATATGTGACAGAGACGGGGCTGCTGCTGTAACATTAAAGCGTATTGTGGGGTTTCATTTAGTCTAAAACTTCATCCAATTAACATTTTTCCTGTTTTACTTCTGCACTAATCTGCCATGAAAGTGTGTGATGTAAATATATGCGGGTATAATCAACACACAAGACTGTCCAACCACTCCCGACACTGCGAGTGAGTCTGTCAAACCAGAGTATTAGCACTTGATGATTACTTGTTAGCTTTGGATCAAACATGAATCTGACGGAGAAGCTGCAAATTGAGAAATCTGTAAAAGGGCCCAGAACATCTTCCTGATGAGTCAGTGTCTGTTTCTACTTGACAATGAGCCGGAGGGATGAAAGTGGCCCCAAATACAAAAGGTGTAAAAACTCACTGTTAATGAGGATGCGATTGAAATTAAACAATCTGTTACACTTCAAACAAAAGCAAAGCCACATTATGCAAATGAGTGAAGCATTTGTGCTTTTCAAAGGCTGACGGGGGCTTTTGTTACATGCAGGAGGCAGATGCACAAAGAGGAAACCGGCAGGGAGAATTTTCTAGCTGGTGCCGCTCCATTGTCACTGGGAGCTTGTACTTTTCACTCTGTCCCAGTTCTGAGCCTAAATCTGACCCTTTTCAGAGTTTTTCTCAGATTTATCCCAACACTGTTCAAAAAGCACTTGTGGTTTCTGTGGATGCATGCGTGCTAAACTTCTCCACAGAGGATAAATTAGACGAAAAGAGGAGAGTTTTGAGAGCTGTGAGGACATTTCCTGGTACAGAACATACTGAAATGTCCTGAAATTTTTACTCAGCTGTCCTCAAACCCCAAAATAGCACACAGCAGAGTTTCAGTGTCCTCTATTAGACTAAAGTACATAGGACTAAATAAAATGTGCTCCAAATTAGATTAGATTAGACTACCAAAACAGCATTTTTATGATATTCGCCTAAGCATGTGCCCACCTGTATATGTGGGGTCCCGCTCCCTGATAAAAAATGATAAACTAAATGGTTTAGGTAACTAACATCACATATTACTTGTGTATTTCCTGTGAAAAATACAAAGTTAGGCCAGCTGTCCCAAACAAACAAACAAAGTATCTCATAAACTATCCATATATTATTTTGATATTTTGAGTGAGAGGAGGAGTAGCTGAAGAGTTTGATGTATAATATGTGTATGTAAGAGTTGTGTCATTTAGTTAAAAGCAATACCGATAATTTCCTATATTATATTTTTATGCCGATATCCACCGATAATATCGGACATCCCTACTGCCTATGTTCACATTTAGAAAAAAATCTCCCAAAATGTTTGTTTCTGTCTGACCAAAATGGTTTATTTCAGGTCATCTGTTGTTATGAGTCAGCAAGGCAGCAACAGAGTGAACCCAGGTTAGAGAATCAGGGAGAAGTCTCACAGCGCAGTTAAAGAGTCTGTTAATCTCCGGAAATATCCATCGAAATGTTGTTGAAAATTAATAAAATATTAGCGGCTTCGTACCACATAACCATAAAAATAGGGTCTAAAGTACATAGGGTGTGGGTCTAGTGTCTTTAGGGACGCCATATTAGATGCCAGCTCAAGGTCCTGCAAGTCGATGACATCACACGAGATGATTGACTGGACGTACGACTTACGGAAGTTACGTTACCACGTTCACGTTAAGAAACACGACTTTAATGGTAAATGGCCTGTATTTGATGTAGCGCCTTCTAGAGTCCTGGAACCCCCCAAGGCGCTTTACAACACAACCAGTCAATCACCCATTCACACACACATTCACACACTGGTGGTGATGAGCTACGATGTAGCCACAGCTGCCCTGGGGCACACTGACAGAGGCAAAACTGCCGAGCACTGGCGCCACCGGTCCCTCCGACCACCACCAGCAGGCAATGTGGGTTAAGTGTCTTGCCCAAGGACACAACGACAGCGACAGACTGAGCGGGGCTTGAACCTGCAACCTTCCGATTACAGGGTGAGCACTTAACTCCTGTGCCACCGTCGCCCACTTAATAACAAAGCTGCTAAACTTTTCCCAAAATGTATGTGAAAGAACAGAATTAAAAAAAACAGATGCTAAATAGTCGGCCGAGTGGTTCTGCCATAGTGTGATGATGTCATCGGCAGGCGCAGGGACCCCGAGCCAATCCGAAAACTACAGCGCCATAAAACCACAATCAGCATTGCATTCTCTCGGTGGAATTAACCGAAGGACCATCAAAGTCTGAGGAGTCACATCGACGTGTCATGCTTTCTGCTCCACGGGTAACATTTACCCTGATGTACCGCCCCCTAGAGCCAGGAAACTACACACTGCCACTTCAACATGCTACTCAGAGCGGGACACATCGAGAACTAATGTTTTGAAATATTTTACCACTTTGTGACTTTTAATCATTTGCAGCAGAGATGGTTTAGTCAGTAAAGCAACACAAGTACTTTTTAGTTAGTAAAACTCTAAAAAACACGAACAAAAACTGGTGTGAATGTGGAAGATTTCTCCCTACATAAGCAGAACCACGTGAATAATGACCCATCCCACTTATGAAGCATCTGCCCTGCTTCCTGTGGGCAGAAGACTGGGTGATCTTAAAGCCACCAATAAAGCTGGAGAATGGTTTTCTCACTGAGGTTGTGAGGCTCATGACCTCTGACCCTTTTTACCCTCTGCTCTTTGCTCAATGTTGAATCCTTTAGGTTTTATTTTTTTACAAATATCTGAGTAACACTACCATACTACTACTACCATACTTTAAACAAGCTACATTTAAATCAGAATATTCAGAAATAATCCTGACAGCTTCACGTCTAAATAAAAATACCAGTCTGCTCTTTAACTGGGTCATGGTTTTTCCTGAGGATCAAGGCGAGTGTGAAGCACCTTTGTCTGGAATTTCTTCTTCCTGTCTGGCAGTAAGTAAATCTTCACATATGGGTCAGAGAAGCCATTGGCATCCTTCGCTGGCAGGTCCAAAGCTTTCAGGATCTTCACCACCAACTGCTCTGTGCTAAAGGAAGGCAAACAGATGCATTAGAGATTCACAAGGTTACATAAAGCGAGATAAAACGAGAGGGTTTGCACGCATTTACACAAACACTCCATGAGACTCAGACAGGATCAACCCACTCAAACACACAAACACCTGTGCAGAAGTTGTGCACTCAAATTGGTGTGGGAGGTTCGGTGTCTCTGGAGCCAAAGAGGAGCAAGAATAGCATGAGTGCGTGTGTGCGTGTGTGTGTGTGTGTGTGTGTGTGTGTGTGTGTGTGTGTGTGTCATCTCTAGAGCTGTATCACAGTTGCACTGTCAGCAGAGCTAAATGTAAGCTCTGTGAGTGCAGATGTCCAGCTGAGAGACAGAGCCCGTCCACGGCTGAGCTCATTTCTTTTCTGTAATGCAGTTCCCTTATATTTCTAGTCACATGACTCGCTTAGAGGAACATACAGGTGTGTGTGTGTGTGTGTGTGTGTGTGTGTGTGTGTGTGTTGTGAGCTATTAGAACAGAACCACATGCCTCTATGATATTTAATGTCCAGATTGTGTTTTTTTAAAGCTTTTTAATCACCTTTTAAACTTATTGTTGCAAACTTACACTTAAACATGAATACATGTACTGTTGTTATCACTTGATGACCTTTTACCCAAGGTCAAGTGTGATGGATTTCTGCTTGTCAGTCATTGTATTAGGATGCAACAGACAACCACCGCCAGCTGTTAACAAATAAGGACTTTTGTCTGCCTGTAATTACTGCAGTTGCATTGTTTAGTCTTTTACGCAACACGGTTGTTTCTTTGTGTTTTTACTCATTTGCACCTCTCCATGAGCCTTAGCTGTCAGCTACCAGCTACTGAGAAAACACCAGCACCGCTAAAAAAACCAAACCAAAACATCAATTAGTTTAACCAGCTGCCTTTTTTCTTCATTTCTTTGTGATTGTCTCTTGTCACGACTGTGTTCAGTCACAACCTGGCATTTTTGTCACTGCACTTCATGGGACTTTCTGTCTGCTGGTCTAAATGTTAACACAAAGTCATTTTTTTGGACTGGTTGTTGATGCAATAGCTGTAGAGCAAAGATAGATGGGTAAAAATGAGTGATGCTGGGGGGTAAAGATGCCCCACATAGAGAGGAGATTCTAGCTGAAATAAAGGGAGTTGTGTATGGATCTAAAAGGCAGCAGAACCATGGAGAAAAACTTAAATTAAACAAATCGTCTGTGTTCATGATCTAAAACATGCAGGAAACATGCTGGAACCGGACTGCAGCGACATATATGTCAGCTCATCTTTTTCTAAGTCCCAACAGAGTGGCCGCCAGTCTGAAGTTGCAAGTGGAATTTAAAGCTCCGGGAGTTGACTTCACATCTCCCGGCATGCAACAGTTCAAATCGAAACGGCGCCATATTGGCAGGCAGAAGCCCGCAGCTGGACTATTTATTATTGTCAGAAAACTCAATCAGACAGGAAATATGGTAGATTCCTGTTGTGCCCCAGGATGCAGAACAGACGCGGACGACATAAGGAATGAGCCATCTACAGGATTCCCCAAGATCCGGAGCGCCGCAAACGTTGGATCATTGTAATAAAACGCGCTAGTGACCGGGCTAAAATGAAGCTGTGGGATCCCGAGAGTAAAGGATTTCACTTATGCAGCGACCACTTCATATCAGGTACTTAAACCAACGTTTCCTCAACTGTATATGGTATTTATTTTAAATAATTTTATTACGATTCTTAGTGGGCTTCCTAAACTTATTTTGGCGGGGCTTTTTCTGTCTTATTACTCATAACAACAAGTAAACATCACGTAAAACGTTGCCTCGTGAGTTCTACGTGCTGCCGTTTACGTGTTTTATGATCACAGCAATTAACCGGCTAAGCTGTATTTAATTTTTAAGCAATGGTTGATCAATTGTGAGATCACACATAAAAAGCACTTTGGATTGCTATTATCTGTCTCACCGAGACAGATCTCAGACAGATCCTGAGACGCTCCTGCCTGACATATTTATTTTATTCATGGAAAAAAAAAATCAAACTAGTGATTTCTCTTGGCGTTCAGTTTATACATTCAAACAGCACAGCACTCTATTTAAACTACTTACATGTAAATCTATGTTATTTGTCCATCCATCCATTTTCATCCGCTTATCCGGAGTCGGGTTGCGGGGGCAGTAGCGTCGAGAGGCCCAGACTTCCCTCTCCCCAGCCACTTGGGCCAGCTCCTCCGGGTAAATCCCAAGGAGTTCCCCGGCCAGGTCCGGTAAGAACTCCGCTCCGACAGTTTATGGCGTTTTCAAAAAGTATCCCAGGGGCACGGTAAGGGTCGGAGATGTTTAGTCTATTTAATTTCTGACTATATAAAACGATTTCTTCGGTTTTAAAGTGTGAAGTAAACTCAGACGAAGTAAAATCCAAGCCGATCCCGTTAATTTTGTTTACCTTTGTTGCCTGCCAACATGGCGTCTACTCTCTGAGAGTCACGTGATGACCGGAGCTCTATTCTGGTCTCGGGGAGATAGGATCTGGGTGGCCTTTCATTAACCCTGTAAAGAGTCATTTTAGCACATACTGGCTCACGAAAAGGATTTAACCCTCCCTCATTGTTAATAGGGTCAGATGGGCCTTATTTATTTATTTATTTTAGTAGGGCACCACTTCACCCTTGCCAATAGATAAACTATCAACTGTGTTTAACGACCCCCTGTCCTGGAGGGGTCACCTGATAGGACAGTGGAAGGGTTAAATATGAAAATGTTGCAAAGCATCCCATTAAAACCCATCTTACATTATTCCCAATTTAGTTTCCAGTAATCAGAAAGTGTGGAAAATGTGAGAAATTTGACATTTTAATAATGAAAAAACAGCCACTAGAAATATCATACAACAAATACAGTCTCTGCATTTATGCCCCACATGACCCAAAATCCCTCAAAATCCCAAAAGATTTTTTTTGTGCCAATTTACTGAAATTTCAATTCAATTCAAAAATACTTTATTGATCCCAGAGGGAAGTTGATTGATTTCAAATTAGTTCAACATTTTCTCTCAATTTTGTGTCTCCAACTGTTCCCTGACAGCTGCCTCTCAGTATCGTAATCAAAGCAAATGAAGAGAAATCTGAGAACTTTTTGTTTTTGTGATATTTTCATTTTTAGCAGCAGAACTGAAGAAACTGAGGGGATACAACAACATCTGTGCAGGCGAGGAGGAACAGGTCGTGAAAGACGGGGAATTATCACGTTTTGTCACAGTTGAAAGTAAAAAGTTACATTTTGCAACAATCAAACTTAAAACTTCATTCACAGCAGCATTGCTAAAGCTACTAATCTGTAAAACAAGTTAGCTTTTAAAAGTAACAACGTCACAAACTCTTCCCTCCTGTCCCCCAATACCCCGGGCTTGTGTGATTCAAACGACACATTTAGGCATCGTGCAGTTTTATAGCTAAAATGTCTGAAGATGTTTTTATATTAGTGGATATTTTGGTTAAATTACTGAAACACTTCATCAAAAGATTTAAAAGAACTAAAATCCAGAAGAAATCAAGTATTTGGTGCTTCTTCCCCTCCTAAACATCATGTAGGTGTGGGCATAATGTTATGGGTGATTTGTGTATGCCGCAACTGCATTAATTCTGTTTGCACAAACCAGTTTCAGGGTTGTAAACACGAGTGAAAAAATTGGACTCTCAGCACCTTTGCTTCACAAATAGCCTCACAGACCATTTCTGCTCAACAATCCTAGCAGATTGTAACCCACACATTTATACAACGCAGCGAGGCAGAGACGGTTTCTCTGTCACGCAGACAAACCTGTAAGCATGCAGCACACATGAGCAGGGGCTCCGCGTGTTTTCCTGACATACCAATGCTCCCGCCAGAGTCAGGGCTGCATCTCTCACGTTTATTATGCATTTAATTACTAGATGAAGATGAGGACAGCTCGGAGGCCTTTAATCAGACCTCGTTAGACTGTGTCTCCATGTGTTAACGAGGCTGTCAGCACTTCATTTGCTGCTTTGGGAGAACAACGTGAGCGTTGTGGCCGAGGGCAGAAGCCAGCAGTGACCCCAGCGGCGTTAACGTCCGCTGTGTTTGTGCCACACACACACAAACAGGACATGCGTGTTACATTACAACCACATTAAATCTGGACAAGTGTTTACCTCTGACTCAGACCCAATTAAAACAACTGGATAAACATGGCTGATCTGCAATCACATCACATCAGGGAGACGATGTGCAGGGTTCAGAGGGATGTTACAGTCGAGGCTCAATGTAATGAAACAAATTACATCATTTTTTAAATATTATTTTACATCAATATTTATTTCAATTTGGTAGAAACGGATGATATCCTTCTTTGTGAATCCATTCAAAACTACATCTTTGACCATATTGTTGTGAAAGAAAAATGTTTTATTGCTAATGCTTTCAAAGCCTAAAAAATACAGAAGTACTGACTTAGGGAGACTGCAGGCTCTGGTTTTCATCAGCAGGGGGCAGAGTTGTGCTGTTTGGTGCCGATTAAAACTTTTAAAGCATTCATCATACTAGAAAGAGCTTAACATCAGGCCTGTTAGAATAAGAACGACATCAAAGAAACTTATTTAAAAACTTCATTCCATTGAACAGTTTGATCAATCGGCCAAACTGAAAAATAAAACACACAAAAAAAGAAATGATAAGCTTTGCGGTAGGCTGGATCCGAATGGAACGTCAGAGCACTGTTTTTTTTTACAGAGGTTGCCACAGAGCATGCGGCGGTAACGGCTATAGATAACTGAGACAATGTCTTTGATGTGCATCTTACACCCAGTGTTTTGCCTTTATTCTGCCACCTTTACGTGCATTGTATGAGTCTGGCTTTTGAAAGCCTTTCACAGTCAGACGACTCTAAAGAGCTTTACACTACAGTGTAGCATTCATCCATTCACACACTCAGTGCGGTTACATGGGCACTGACTGGCATTCTGAGTCGATGCAGGTTGGTCTTATTGCAATAAGCTGGGAGTCTTTATCCTAATTTACATGCGCATTAGAAAGCCGGCCTCTCAAACAAAGTTCATTCCACTGCGGTACAGTAGGTGGCAAATGGCGATATGCCCCTTTTCATGTCGGCATTCTTCCGGTTAGCTTATAGCAACACAAGCAGTAAACGGAGGCTGGCGGGAGTGAAGCAGACGGAAATGAAACAGGAAATACACAATGGCTGAAGGATTGTACAACAACAACGCTGCAGCACAGCCTATTTGGTACGTACTGTCCTGTTTTATGGTGTTACGCGTGTTGCTTTGTCACGATGGTCTTGTCAGAAGACTGCTTCCGCGGTCTCGTCACTTCCAGAATGCGAGCTTCTTACCGGTTTAGTTCGGCTGACCCGTTTACATGCAGGATGTAATCAGATTGTTACCACATTATCTGGGTGCTTCAGTTCAATTAGAACCAGTCCACCGTTAGCCAGACTAACATGTTTACATGCCATTTAAAAAAGCCCGACGTGAGTCTTTTTAGGGCAATACTTTGGTTTTCTGATCTGCATGTAAACACACTGACTGGTGATGATGAGCTACGATGTAGCGACAGCTGCTCTGGGGCACACTAACAGAGGCGAGCCTTCTGACCACAGACGCCATCAGTTCCTCCGACCACCACCAGCAGGCAAGGTGGGTTAAGCATCTTGCCCAAGAACACAACAGCAGCATTCTCTGGGATTGAACCTGCAACCTTCTGATTACTGGACAACCCTCTCTACCTCCTGAGCTACTGCTGTCCAACATGGCTGTCATTTAAAAGGCAGGGGAAAGCATGCAAAATGGAACGTGACAAATGGTTATTTTAACATTTTTAGATTTTTATCTGTTTCTCCAGAACCAGAATAGAATTTGAAACACAAGTTTGCTAAATTGCACATCTTAAGTCTGCAGTCACACGGTGTGATTCACAGATGTCCGACAACCGGAACATACAGGAAGCTCGTTCACAGCAAAACAGAGATATTCCTCTTCCTGAAAACATTAAAACAGTTGCAGGGTTTCCTCCTCTCCAGCGTCCTTTTACAGATGAATACATTGTTCTGAACCAACTCCAAGACTCTTACTGAATCCCGGAGGCACACTAGCACGCCTAACTATGCTGGAGGAGAATTTCACAACCTTATTCCTGGCAGACAATGTTGAAAGGTGGCTGTTATTCCCGCAGTGGAAAGGTGTCAGCTTTTAATGGCTTTGTCAATAGAAATGTCTTTCCCAGAAGACCTTAGCCAGATTGACATTGTTGTTTTGACTGTTAACACTCCAAACAGCGGGGCTTCACACATTAACATACCAATCTTATCACAGCTCCAGCGCTAACACATCCCAAGACAAGTGTTTTCACACAAATGCCCACATTGGTTCTGCTACATCGCACACCTTCTCGTTTTACCTTTGAGGTCTTTCCTTCCTGTTCCTCTTTTTTGTTTTAGATGTAACTAAAGCAAATCATGAATCGTCTTGTGACTTTTTAAATGAGAAAATGGGACGCATGAATAGCTTCTGCAACAAGCTCCCTTGTTAATTCTCCGGAGCTGTAATTTGACTGTAACACCATCTGGAGTTATTATGCGTTGACAGGGTTGCTATTAAAAGTGGCTCATCATATATAATGCATGACTCAAACAGTCGCTCCCTTTTATTTCGGACCATCAGCACTTTCACCCGTTACAATGATTCCACATGTCAGAGCAGACAGAAACGCAGGAGCTGCACGGAGACCTCCAAGGATCCCACCGAGAATCAACGCCTGGATTCTCGAAGTTGCATCGTCCATTTCTCATCACCTAAAGCCCACATTCTCCAACAGCTGTGTGTTCACGTGAGAAGCAAAAGGTCTGTGAGCTCTTTGCTAAGTTAGTTAGAATTATTATAATTGTAAAATATAACCTTAGTCAATGCAACTCACACAAAGGACTTTCTCAGGCATCTGTGGCATGATTTAGAAGTTGTATCTTATGCTGCACACAAACAGTGAGAGCAAAGGGGTACCAGTATGCTCCTCTACCTCTATCTATCGGCGTTCCTCAAGGGTCGATACTGGGCCTAACCTTGTTCAAAATCTATATTAATAACATTGTTCATGCTGTTGACAATGCTCATATACATTTATATGCAGACGACACCATTTTATATGCATGCAGTTCTACCTTGAATGCAGCTCTGTCTTCCTTGCAACACAACTTTAATTGTCTTCAACATGCCTTCTCCAACCTTCATCTCCATTTAAACACAAGTAAAACAAAGTCCAGGATCTTCAACTGTAACTTACCGGAATCAACTTGCCACCCTAATGTTTCCCTGGATGGTACAACAGAACTACAGCTTGTCAGTTCTTATAAGTATCTGGGTACCTGGCTTGACAGACACTTTCATTTGACATTTATATGAATTCATTACTTTCTGAAGTCAAGTCAAGAATTGGGGTTCTATACCACAACATCCTTCACTCCCTCTGCAGAGCAATCTTTGGTCTGAATGACAATCCTTTCCATCTTAGATTACGGTGACATCATTTATAGGACTGCTTCCAAAAAACGTCTTCATAAACTCGATGTCATTTATCACTTAGTAGTCCATCTCGTCACTGGTGACTCTTTCACTACTCATCATTGTTATCTGTACTCACTCGTTAACTAGACATCACTCCATCCCTGCAGGTTGTTACATTGGTATCAGTTTATATACAAAACAATCATCGGTAGAACCACATCATATCATCAGTCGTTACTCATCACATCCAACAACCAGTGTAATTTACGTTCCAGTAGCTTAATCTCCATGGTTATTCCCAAAGCATGCACCTCCTTTAGCCTCTCCTCATTCCAGTTTTCTGCTGCCAACGACTGGAATGAGCTGCAAACATCATTGAAGCTCACTGCCTACATTTCATTATCTACCTTCAACAAGTCATTGCAATCAAAGTTTCTGATGAATGTTCCTGCTTCTGAGTTCTTAAAGACTGTTTCAAGTCTGTTTTGATTGCTTGCTCATATTATACATGAGAACAGTAATTTGTATTTATGTCTAACGGTTTTATCTTATTTTTATCTTGTATTTTTTTATCGTATCTGTTTTCTTTGGTGTAAAACTAACAATGTGTTAGTTTTATTGTAAAAAATATAAATACTTGAAAAATATGATGTCACACCCATATTAGCTAATTAACTCAAAACACCTGCACAGGGTTCCTGAGCCTCGTGGTCTCAGGAACATCCAATAAGTTAAATATTAGATTCAACAACTTATTCTTGTCTCAGAAAAAGGCAGACATGAGAAATGTGTCTCATATTAAAAGTCTAATCCCCATAGTTTTTGAATTTGTAGTGTAGGTTAGGTACATCAACTACATGATATACTCTTAAGTTACTTTTAATAGAGACATTGATGTATTATGTATTTCTAACTGATCGTGTAATTTTACTCATTTTCTATAAGGGAGGAACTGATACATGTAGTTGAAGTAAGGTTCTTGTATTGACCTCTAGTTTTTTCCACCTAAAATCACATTATACCTTACTTTCATTTCCACTTGGTGGTTCAATGCAAATTATATTTAGTGGGAGGATGGAAAAAAAAACACGTCTTTTAGTTGTAAAAGTTGCAACCCTCTGCTTAAAGAAGCAACAGCTGATTGATGATGCTGATCTTGATTATTAAAACTGAAATTTCTTGTTTACTGTCTGACTTCCCAACAAGATGCCAAAGGAACCCTCATGGTGTTCACAAATGTAAATTTAACTGAATGTGATTTGGTTCTAGCTTGGCTAAATAACGAGTGTTAGCATACGAACTGTGTGTTGTCATATTCCGACGAATACCACGGACGAGTGCTCTTCCAATAAGGAACCTAAAATACTGACACAGTAGTTAAACTTTCCATCTAAAACCATTGACTCACATAAAAACTCCCACGTTTTACATCACAGCACAGTGAAATCACATGTTTTACTTGAGGCCTGGTGACTTACTTGAAGGCGTAGCGCAGCAAGAAGCAGATCTTGCCACAGGTGTCGCCCTGTTTGCCATCGCTCTGATCACCTTTAGGTCTGTAAAGCTCCGGCTTGATCTGCCCGATGCAGGTTACCTGCTCCTTCTCCTCACCATGAAAATCTGGGCTGGAGAGCTGGTGAGTCATGGGTTTGGGCCTGAATGTGCACAAAGCAACACACAGGGGGTGAATATCGCGCAGGGAGCTCGTGCTCGCACAAGATGCTGCACGGCCGCTAGATTCAGTCACCTAGGAGATGCATTTACATCAGGATTCTGGATTTTAAATTTAGATTATAGAACACACCTGCATCATGAATATTAGGGCTGATTCTATAGTTCATACATTTGTTTTTAAAAGCTGATTTTGATGATAAAAGATGTTTTTGATTCAGATCTCATGTCATCTATTGATATATGTGTGTGTGTGTGTGTGCATGTGCGTGCGTGCGTGCGTGTGTGTGTGTGTGTGTGTGTGTGTGTGTGTGTGTGTGTGTGTGTGTGTGTGTGTGTGTGTGTGTGTGTGTGTGTGTGTGAGAGACCAGCGTCTATGCACTTTAATGCTAAAATAAGGACTTCATTCAAAAAAGCAAGAATGTAAGATCAGATTTATGACTGATATGGAGGGAATGGGAGTATTAAGCTTCTCTGTAATGAGGGAAAGTGAAACACATACAGGAGGGGAATGTTCTTGTTTTATTTAAATGACTACTTTGTTGTACTTAAAAACAAAGAAAATGAGATTTAAAATCAGGACCCATGTAGTGATACTGTTGAGTTTTCTCTACAACCTGAAATAAATAAACTAATGTTTAATCCTGGGGCTGTTGTGGCCTTTACATTACTGAAGGGCTGCTGGTTCAGCTCTACATGAAGCCTTCAGTGAAAAAGATACAAAACAAGACATCCCCAACACACACACACACACACACGTTTGGTCCTGCACTGACCGTGAGGTGACCTGCTGCTGAGAGTGAGCGTTAGGCAGGTCTTTGTTGGTCCCCCCCTCTGAGTTGGGGACGTCTGGAGATGTCTGACTCAGCTTCAGCGTTCCTACAAACACAAACAACCCCACAGCTATTATTTATTAATGCTCCAGTTATATTACCAGAATCATTGGTCTCATTGATTTCATGACTTTAATTTAACAGGAAGCCATTTCTGAGCTGATGACTGAGCAGACACGTTTACACTAACCGCTCATGAGCAGGAGACAAAAACATCAAGTGAAGTGAAAGGAGGATTAACTTACATTCAGTTTAAATGATGCACATGCAGAAAGTCAGTAGAAACACAATGTCAGAATAAAAACATCCAGTTTCAGCTTAGAAAACACCATACTGGCTGCAGCTGTTTGTTAGAGTGATGCTGGGCGGTTCTGAACACTATGTTAGAAGATCACATTATTAAACGTGTTAGTATTAAAAAATGTGGTTATTTTGTTCCCCATGTTGTGACGATCCTTCTGAGAAACAGTTTTAATAAACATTATAATTAGTTCATTTCTGCTGCTCAGAGTTTTACAGGATGTCTTTTAAAAATAAACAAAACCAAAAAGAAGATGAAAAAACGAACATGTTCGGAGCTTTTAAGGAAAATAACTGTTAAATAAAAATATGAAACCAAACTTAAGTTACGTATTTTTTTAAGCTAGTCCTTAGGAGAAAGAAAGAGCAAAGAGATCCAATGGACTGCATCGCGCTGTGAACGCACAAACTCATATAATTGTTGAGATGAGTCGTAAGCTTGGAACTTTGGCTGAGATTCAGGCTCTGGCACAGAAGGTTGATTCCATCAAGGACAGAGTTGTGGACGGATCAGCACGGATTGGGATGGATTAATTACGCCATTATTGGATCTAGAGGGGTTGATGACCAACAGAACTCTAATGCAGAGAGGAAATTATCTCTGTCTGTCCCCAAAACAATCCTTATATGAATCTGGTGCCCTTGAGCCTGTGAGGCTGAAGTAAAAACTTCCCCCTCAGAAGAAATGTGGAATGCTGCCGTCGCTGGGCAACTCTTTCTCCCTCTCCCAGCCTGGGCGGGACTGTGACCGGTGAAGGCCGTGGAACCGTATCTAGGAGTTACTGTGTCCTCCAACCCATTAATCTCCCTCCCCTGTCCAAACGGAGGTGATAAGCGCTGCGGCTGCACGCACCGAAGTGAGGAGAGTCCCAACCCTACCTCCCCACCTAGTGGACACTTGTGTTGTGTAATGCCTGAAGTGTGTTGCATATCTGCCTGAGGTGTTTTTTTTTTGAATAGCAAAGCTGCCCTCTCTGTGGAGGGTAACTCTGAAGTGCCTTTTTTTTCCCCTCCGCCTGACTCTGTCCTCATATAAACCCACTTGATCTATCAAGGTAGCGTGACTCGGGTTGCAAATGACCACAGTCACCAATTCTTGTCATGTATGTATGTCTGATCTCAGAATTGTGTCTACTGAAACTCTAAATTCCCACTGGGATTAATAAAGTATTATAGAATAGAATTGAATTGAATTTGTAAAATTTAATAAAATTAAATAAAAATTCATTAAAAGTGGAAATACTTTTGTGACAAGTTGACATGTGCACATTTTTGATTTAATGCAAAATTGAGCTGTTTTGTTTTTTACTGTTTTAACAGGTTATTTTCAACCAAGCTTGCATAAAAGTTCAGAATTTAGTGTTGGATGATTTGTAGTTAATTTCATGTTTGTAGATGCAAAAATATGGCCAGAAACAAATTTATTAGACAAGTTATTTTCATCAAATAGTCATAAAAACTGTTAATTTCTTCATTTTGGACACATTTGTCTTTGGAGTCTCCATGAAAATGACAAATCTGAATACAGTTGACATTCCTAACTTGTTTCTGTATTTGTAAGGTCTGTAATATGAGACAATACATAAATGTATATATGTATAATATGTCTAAAATAATCATCTACAAAAGCTGCTTGAATAATGATCGTCTTTCAGCATTTCGGTGCAGAAATGGCAAAAATGTCACAAAACCAGTGAGATCAAAAGTTTCTGTCTCTCACCAGCATTGTTGGGGTAGGAATCCATATCCAGGTAGGAGTGCTCCTGGGTCTCGTTTCCCCCAACTACTCCCCCAACATCCCCCCTCTCCAGCCCCACTAGGTCAGAGAAATGGGGGTGGCCCTGCTGGCCCAGGGAGGGGTAGAGTGAGGACGAGGAGTGCCCCTCCTTCCTCTGCAGCATCGGGGGCAGAAGAGATGCTCCCCCAGGTCCTCCAAGGCTCCCAACTCCAGCGGTTCCGGGCAACAGCCCCGACGTCAGGCTCAGGCCTCCGCCCTCCTTGTCCCGCCATGGCAGCCAGCAGAGCTTCCAGGAGACAAAGAGAGAGACGGACAGGAGGACGATGCCACAGAATGTCACGATGACCGACAGCAGGCTGACAGAGATTTCTAGAGGGAACCAGAGGAGGGGGGAAAAAAAACGATTAAATACACAATTTTCACCCATTTTAGAGAAAACGACATCTGCTAGTCAGCACTTTGAATGAAAGCTGTTAGATTATGTGGAGCATTGATGATCAGTCCGTATTTACATGGTGATCAGAGCGAGTCCGGCTAGGAGGATTTCACTGCAGACATTTTGACTTGAATAAGGAGGAAAACCACACACGCTTTAACAAGGGCTGCGTTCCATTTAAAGACAGTTTGAGCTACAGAACAAATCACTGTGCTCAGCTGCAGAAATCATTAATACACCCGCTCTTCCAGTGGGCCAATCAGGAGATCCGCATCACGTGGTTACAGAGCAGTGCCACATCAACGCTTTCCTCCACCCGAAACCTCCACCCTTTCACTTTTGCATGAGAAAGTTGTTAATGATTTATATTCTCTAAAACAAATATGGCCGCCATACATCCATTTGCACACGTCTGTCGCTCCATTCCCAAAACAACTACACTGTAAAACGGAGACACTGCAAAAAACCATGTTTTCTCTGATGAGACATGAAGACTTTTGTATTCAGATTCATGCTGTTGGTCATTTCTGAGCACATCTAGCCGCTCCTGGCACCTCCTTCTTGTCAGAATCAGAGCCGTTCCCCTACCAGACGGACGTGGGACTCATCAAGGTGCTCTGCACCACACAGAGAGCAGCAGCTGAGACGAACATTTTTCTGCCTCTTCGTGAAACAGAGCAGTCGGTGAGCCTTTTTAATGAGGCTGGCTGTGTTAGGTCAAAGGTCAAAGGTCATGCGCAGCCCACGCACTTAGCTGTTTTCACCAGCTCCACTGCTTGTTCTCCCTCGGTGATGAGGGGAAGGGATGCAAACAGAAGAAAATCCGCGGTAGGGTGTTTTAGCAGTCACAATGCACACTTTTAACCTGGCCACTTAAAGAGCAAGTCAACCCCTACCAGAGTCTAACTCTACTCCCACTTCATGTTTGAAAAATGCTACAAATGCTGTTGCCTGGCTGACCGAGAAGGAGGAGCTGCTAACAAATACACACAGGCTCACAGCAGCATTGTGACATCATAATGTACTAGTTTACATCATAGCATACCTCTTAGCCAATAGCGGTGGCAGATTTAAATTAGAATACAGTGCAGAATTTTTACCTGACAACGGCACAACACTGCCAGTTTTAGGCAGAATATTTAAATTTGAACTAAGATGCACTGAAGTGCCAAATTATTGATGACACGTGTCTGCAGCACGATTAGACACTCGTTTATTTAGTTTGTCAGCAAAAAAAAGTTTATTTGGGGGTGACTTGCTCTTTAAGTGTGCCCAGGTTAAAAAAATGCAAACACAGAAACAACGGGAACAATTCTACAACTGAACTGCAGATTTGTTTTTGATGACAGATGTCTCTGTTAAATATTTCCTGCTCTGAGTAGCTGTTAGGTTCAACTGCCTTCTACTGCAGGCAATGCCTACTTCATACAACAGTACTAGACAAAAACAACAACAAAAACAACAGTTTTAAGTGCTGCTACAGCGAGGCTCCATAAACTAAAACACTTCATGAACTCAAATTCCTGCAACCAGCAGGTGTGATCTCCTCAGTTAACATAAATGGTTGTGCATAATGATGACAAATGGTCAAACAAGATTCATAATCAGTGATTTTCAAATGTTTTGGCCATTCAGCTGGTCCTTCTGACAGATCTACAATGGCAGCGCAAATGTTTTTGTTTTTGTTTTTGGCACCAGCATGAATGAAAATAACAACTGCGTTTGTGTGCGCCTGGCGTTAACACATTCTGCATATGCCAAACAAATCAACAACTGCACAATCAACCACACACACACACACACACACACACACACACACACACACACACACACACACACACACACACACACACACACACACACGTAGTTACCACAACATCTGCAAATCCCACATTATTGAGCCGAAGAGGGAACCTGCCACAAGCAAAAGCTGTAATTTGCAGCTTTTCTCTGAAGCTTTTATCCATCGTTTAAATCCTGAGCTCAAGACGAGGACGGACGTCGGCAGAGTGGATGCTCCTGAGGAGCGAGAGAGGGCGAGGTGGGAGGAGGTGACGAAGCAAGCAGTTAATAATAAATAAAACAAGCACCCACATTGGTGCCGTCACATATTTCCTTGTCGTTGTGAGCCTTTTGATCTCTGACAGTTTGAAGGTAGTGTCTGAGAGTTGGGGGGGGGGGGGGGGGGGGGGGTTGGGGGCTGAGCGTTGGTCTGCAGGGCTGTGAATGACTCATTCAAATGAGAATAAAAGCAGCGACATCAGCAGCAGCCTCCGCTAACGGCAACAGGCATGATAAAAGAACCGTCGTGTGGTTCTGAGCTTTGAAACTTTGCACATCTGCTAATGCTCACAAATATTACATGCATATTTATAGATAAGTAGACTAAATTTACAATGAATATGTATTATTATCCTGAAGTATTTGAGGTATTTTATAAATAGCATCTTTTGGTCTGATGACTGTCTCGACAAAGAGGACCAATCGGAGCACACGTTTAATGAAGCCCCAGAACATGAATATTCATGCGTCGAAAGTAGACCAAGGAAACACATCGCACCATGAGCAGAGTGTGACGACTGTCTCCATCCTGGAGTTTCTAAGTGAAAAGGTGAGTCCTTTTGCGCCTTTGGGCTCCGTCCAGACCACGAGGCCACTGATTAGGAATCGTTTCAGACTGCAGGCAGACCGGCTCTAACCTCTAGCATCAGAAAACATGTCTTCCAAACCATTGCTCCTTTCCTCTAACCCTGGAATTTATTTCATTTTAATGTCTTCATGAGCACCAAAAGACAAATACTGCTTAATTACACAGAAACGGGTGCCATTTTATCTGTAACTAGCTGACAGCAACATCAGCCGATCCTCCAGCCGTGGGTAGCACGTCTCTGACTTTGGTTTTCCTCCTCTTTCCTCCCACCCTCCATGTTTCCTCCATCTAATCCCCTCAAACTCTCCTCCATCCTTGCTGTCATTCCTTCTCCCAGGCTGGCTGCCTTCGTACGTTCTCCTCAGCATTCGTCTCTTTGTTCATCACCTTCTCTCCACCCACCCACCCCCCCACTCTCTGCTTGCTCGTTCTCTTGTTGGTGAATTATTCATCAGTCTGTGTATGCCATTAATCAGCACTTGTTCAAAAGATATGATTGGGGTGCTGTAAAGGGTTGGGGGATGGGTGAAGGGATCTAAACAAGATGGGGGCAAGAATCGAGCAACGACGGGGAAAAGAAAGACACGAGATGACAGGAAGACGAGGATGAAACAAAAAGCAGCTACAGTGATCACGCCAACTAAACTAAAAGAGGCAGAGGGTTAAAATGTATTTGGTACAAATTAGGCTCCCTGGATCTTGGAGTTAGAGAAGCAGGAGGAAGGGCGTAGGACTCATGAAGCCATCGTGCCTTGTGCGAAAGAGCCAAAACATGAAAGGCAATGATAAAAGGAGGAAGAGCCGGGAAACTACAGGGATGGAGGAATTGAAGCTGACAATGATTTAGAGCAAATCGCTGAAGGAGGGGAAGAGTTTCCGACTGTGAAAGGCTAACGCATTGATCTGTGAAGGAAAAACAGAAGCAGAGGAGGTGGTTGTGTCCGGTTGGGAGATCAGGGTGCACCAATAAGACACCGTAGCGATCAAACGTGTGCAGCGACCGTTGGGGGGCCAAACAGCTCTCCTTCGTTTGTCTCTCTTTAGGGCAGTCGCCGTACCTTCCTGAGCACTGATCCTGCCACAGATCCATCACTGATCCACAGAGCATAAAGAGCCAGTCAGCAGGCGGGTAGGTGGGTGGGAGGCAGGCCTCTGAAGTGCGCTGCAAGGAGTCACCGAGACTCCCTGTCAGTCAGCGAGTGATGCAACCCCGCTGGGACTCGTACAATGCTCTACATCAAACACATCTTTACTGCTTACACAAGCCTTCCGCTGACAGCTTTCGGCAATTGCAGCCCTCTGAGGGATCAGACGCTTCCACCAGCAAACAACATCGCAGCTCATCAAGCGAGGAGACCCTCTCCTAAAACCGTGCCGTGACATTTCTTCACAGAGTCATCCAAATCTCAGAAGGCAGCGCGCAGCCAATCCAGGCTAATCTACGCTGGGCCACAGATCCATGCTAATCTGTGTAGCACTTCCCAAGTGTCTCACAGGAGCCCAACGCAAAACCAACTCGACTGCTCAACGGGACCTATCTATTCAGACTGGTAATACAAATATATTTATAATATGGGTAAAATATTCAGCTGTGAGGTCACAACTGCACAATCCTACAGAGACACTTTTGCATATGCTGGAAGAAATGGAATAACTCGTACCATCACCATTTCAATCCACCACATGAATATTTCATGGTTTGTTTTTTCTGAGTGCACAATGCTCCATACATCCTTAAACACAACAGCCTTCTCCTCGTCACCTAACCTTGCTCACGTTGTGTTGTTTTTACACGCTGCAAACATTTAGTAACACTTTACAACAAGGCTCCCTTTATTACTGTTACTTTATGCATTATTAGGAATTAATAAACAAAGGGTCCATTTATTAACGTCAGTATTGTTGACTATTAAGCTTCCTTAAGGTTGAGATAAAGAACTAGGGGGATTCTGTTTAGTAACACATTATATAATATGGCTAAGCTGTTGTTGTTATTTTATTCATTACTGTATTAATGCCTAATAATATAACATTATTAAAGGGACCCTTATTGTTGCCGTGTATTCTCTTGGCGCTTTTGTATTTTTAACAAACTTCAGAATTAGTTATATAAAGACTGATAAAAATGTTTTCAATGAAAACAAAAAAAACCTGTTTCTAAAGCGGTGATCAAATCCTCACGTTTCATTCCTGGAACCTGGTGGGATCATTTTATCTACCCTCAGAGGGCAGCTGGTCTTTATGAATATATTAAACTGTAACTCAAAGCTTCATCTAGTTGTTTAATAACAAAACGAACATATCAAAGCTGAAATGCAAAGTTTTAGCTGTTATCTTTTGCTAATTTAGCATTTTGGCTAAAATCGGAACATCATTCAGAGCCTGTTTACTCGGGGGGGGGGGGGGGGGGGGGGGGGGTAAGATCATTTTTAAATTGTTTATAATTTATATTTATATAGCACGCTCCACAAGAAGCCCAAGGAGAGATCCTTGAGTTTTCATCCTTTCCATGTGGAACTAACTACAGATGATCCATGTGAAACAGGAAACCAGATACTCTGACACTCCACTTTAAAACATAAAAAGATTTTACTTTTTTTAAAATGTAGTGTCTGAGGGAAGAAACAGTTTTATTCACCTCTAATTCAAGTGTTATTTAGCAAAGATTTCAAATGCACATTAGAGATGGCACATTTGGTCGTCTAATCTATTTTGGAGGCCATCTGGGCTTCATTTCTTTTAAATAAACATTTAGTTAATTTTTTACTGATATATTTATTCTGATAATAATCACATTTTCTCCTCACAGACCCTTTTTTTTTACTTTTGATTTAATAGAATTTCAAAGATAAACAAATACTCAGCATCCCTTCCTGTTTAAATCGGAGACAGAAGTCTGAGTGACGGAGTCTTTTACAGAAACGAGGAGGAATCTGAAAGTGAGAACTCAGAAATGTTACGTGAAGTTTTCACAACCCTAATGAACAAAGTATTTTAAAAAAGTCTGTTTTTAATCGATCTAACGATCCCTTTATGTTCGTGCTCATGTTGATGCACTCTCTATGTTTGCCTCATCAACCAGGAGCAGCATCCTTCTCGTTCCTTAAAGATCACCATGTTTCCTGTTTCTCCGCTTAAACCCACCTGACTGGAATCAATAGATGATTAACCGGTTTCTGCAGAGTTCAATAACACGATGAACATTTGTTTCAGTTATTGAATCATGTGTTGCAGCAGGAAAGTGACAAAAACATGCAGGAGAGTGGTGCTCGAAGACTAGACACCAACCAAGAATTTCAAAATAAAATATCAGAAAAGAACTTGAGTGCTGCTTGAAAACTATGTCCAAACCATAAATAAAGAAACAACTAAGTAAAAAGATAGTTTAATAAAAATAAAAATTAACCTCATTTACAATATTGCACCACCAGATTTAGGGAAGCATTTTTTTAAACATATGAGGTGATGTTTCATTTTCTTGTGTGTGTCTGTGTGAGATTTGACCTGCTGTAGGCTCCTGCTTCCTGAAAAACATCAGCTTAGAGAGACAGAGAATAGTTCTGACTGGACTGACAAGGTAACATATTCACAGTAGGGTTGGTTGTGACTGTAATCTCAAACAGGCAATAATGTTTAACACTAACTTATTAAGCCTATCTACGTATATATACGTATAATTATTTACATAGAAAAATGATGATCTGCAGTACAAATAAGCGAAATGGTAAATGGTAAATGGCCTGTATTTGATATAGCACCTTCTAGAGTCCTGGAACCCCCCAAGGCGCTTTACAACACAATCAGTCATTCACCCATTCACACACACATTCACACACTGGTGGGGATGAGCTACGATGTAGCCACAGCTGCCCTGGGGTGCACTGACAGAGGCGAGGCTGCCGAGCACTGGTCCCCCCGACCACCATCAGCAGGCAATGTGGGTTAAGTGTCTTGCCCAAGGACACAGCGACAGCGACAGACTGAGCGGGGCTCGAACCTGCAACCTTCCGATTGCGAGGCGAGCACTTAACTCCTGTGCCACCGTCGCCCCGAAGATCAGAAACACATCAGGTCACCTTTCATATTTCTGCCAGAATAATGATGTGATGTGAAACTGATTTCTGTGTTGAGATGTGAAGCATTCGCACAACCGTGCTGTTGTTCAGATTACATTTGAGACAGAAAGCCGGTCTAATTGCAACTGATGTCTGTAAAATCCAGTCAGAGCTAAACTTCATTTCTACAAACTGAGGCTGATCAAACAGCTTTATCTTTGACAGGTAATATTCTATGTTGTCATCTTTTCTCATAAACCTTCTTCAGAAGAGCTAAAGTATCTCCAATAATTGCCTAAAACAATCGAAACTCTTATTTTGGAGTTACCTGTGTCCACCTGTCTGTTGCGACCCCTCATCAGGTAGCTGAACTCCTGGCACCGCTCGCTCTGGCTGTAACCTCTCGGAGAGTTGAAGCACAGCTCCTCCACCAACACCAGCGCCTTCTTACACAGGTCGTCATCCCAGTCTCCCGACATGCTCCAATCCGCATCGCACTCTCACCAGCAGTCAGCCAATGACAGCGCAGCTCCCGCCGCCCTCACGTGTCGGACGGCGCACGCAGAGGTACGGAGTCAGCCCGTCCACCTTTGGCAGGGTGCCAGCTGGGAACTACAAGGCAGAGGAAGCTGAGGGGGCCTCAGCGATGCAGGAAAACCACGAAGGAGCTCAGCAGGGGATCTGGATAACAGAAAGCAGAATGACATGCTCATTTATGACTGAACAACTCCTGCTCTACTCTCGTGGCCCTGTGGGTCAGAGGCTGAAAATGCACAAATCAGGTTTCTTCCAGACTGATCCCATCAGGTCAGAACCTGATATCAGAACAACCTGTGTGTGTTTTATAGCTCACTGGTTCTGGTGCTTTAACAGAGCACAGAAAATGGGATTATATAGAAAATGAGAACTTTTTAGCATGTAGCAAGCCACTGATGAGCATTATCCTGGGTAGTACTATGTAGTACAGCCTGGTACTTATAGATGTGCATACAGGGCTCCTACAAAGATACCAGGTACTTACAGGGGTTCCCTGTAGATATGTCTGTAAATACCAGCGAACAAGTGGCTCCATAATGCAGCCTGGCCTTTATACAGCTCTGTAAGAACCAGGCTGTAATACGTATCAGAGGGGGTATGTGGTCACCCCCCCACCCCCACCCCCCCACCCACACACACACACACACACACACACACTTCTAGGGAAGTCCAGGGGCATGACCGCTGGAAGAAACGTTTGGACATTTTGTATTTAAAAGCATCAGTCTAGTGCAATTTGAGAAAAACAGTAGAGTTACAGGCTGGTAAGAATGTATGATAAAGTGTCTATGTATGCATCGTAACAATAGATTTGAGTTAACACATCCTGTCCTTTCTCTATTCCATTTTGAACATTGATGCCCCCATGCTGCTCAGTACCAGAGGTGAACTGATGTCACTAGTTACCAAAATAACCTGTTGAGACAAAAGAACATCAGTTGAGCTGAGCTGCTGATGAGTGTGAGTGCAGAACTTACTGAATGACGTGGCTCGATTTAAGGAACAAAGTTCAATCCAGCTGCTGTTATTTATGTGTTGTTGGTGTTTATATAGAAACAAATGTATCTGCAGGGTTTTAGGCCCAGGGCAGAGTCCTGTACCTCAGACCGACCCACTTTAGATCATGTATAATATCAGAAAATGATGTGCAAATGTTCACAGACATCCAAACCTTAGAAATGAAAAAAAAAAAAAAAATCAATATTAACAATAAAAACAAGTAATATTTCTTTTTCATTCAAATATTAGATATCTGTGAATACTTTTTTATATCTAATATCGTCCCGTTTAAGCAGACATTTGCTTATTTCTAACAGAGCTGAGCTGCACCGAACAGGGCCCGGTCATGCCTGCTTTTCCCGCTCATCACGTTAACTCTCATTGTGACACCAGAGCTTTGCTCCGTTCGCTCTTATTACTGCGACTAGACTCTACAGAGTTCTCATGAATAAACACTTTTTTTTGCCTAATCACTTTTTGGCACCCCCTCCAGCCTGACACCACTATGTGTCACAAACACTGCATACCCACTTCTACAGTTACTCCTGACTCAGCAAACGTATAAAATCAAAGCTCTCATTCATTATAGTTTTTTTTTTCTTAATAAATCTGCTGTCTGATATTCAGACATCTCACCTCTGATTGGCTAGCAACGAGACTCTCCCAATTACTCTGTTTGTTCTGCATTATTCTGTTATCTCTACTAACACGAGCCATGTTGTGGAGCTGCTAATGCTAACAGTTAGCTTAGCCCAGATGTTCTCTGCTGTCTCCTGGACACTAATATGAACTAATAGGTGAGTTCATGAATGCTAATTTACTGTGCGACATACATAGATCTGTGTGGCTTTTTCTGACCCGACCATTTTTTTCTTTTTACTTTTTCTATCAGCGGCTAATGCAAGAATTTGGGGTGAAAGACTATTTTCACCTTTAGCCTGCATGTGAAACTCAGGGCGACCAATCACATTTTAAACATAACAATTAAACAATTGTTTCCTATTAAATCTGCTCTTTAAAGAGACAAAGTGTAGCTGTAACCATTAATTTCTGGAAATATCCATCGAAATGTTGTTAAAAATGAATGAAATTAAGCCCCATTCTTGAAACATATTGGCAGCTTTGTAACATAAAACCATAAAAAACAGGTATAAAATACATGGGAGCGGGTCTAAGTCTCAATTAGGGCTGCTCGATTATGGCAAAAATAATAATCACGATTATGGTGACTGAAATTGAGATCTCGATTATTCAGGACAATTTTTCAATTTATGTTGATTTTATTTGTTTTTATTCAGTCATAAAATTGCTCAGGGTACAATCAGGACAAAAAGAAATAAGAAACAAGATGATCACTAAAATAACTCCTGATTCCCAGTATAAAAAGACCAATATACTTATAGCTCATAGTTTATGACCCAAGGGCTATAGACCTTGGTTTAACTCATTTAAGTCTAACCAGTACAGACCCAAATACCAATATCTTGCAAATGCTGACAGCAAGAATTATACAGTGGCATTTATAACAAATAAATGCAAATAAATTGATGTTCACAAAATGTTGCGTAACATTTATTGAGTCGTGTCAAGGTGCTGTAGGAGAGTGCACTAGCACCGTGTCCTCAGAGAGATTATTTATTAGCTATCAGCGTGAGGAACTTATTTCTACCTTATTTATAAACTATGTATTTACAAGTCCATCAGTTAATGTAATAATTGTCCCAACCACAGCTGCACCCCCCACCCCCCAACCCGGTCTCAGCAATCGGGGCAAGCTGCACATGTGTTTAGCACGCCGCACACACACATTTAGCCGTTTTTAGTGGCTCAGGAGTCCGCAGGTGCGGTGTGTGTGTCACTCACTCTGGTTACTCTAACATGGAGCCGGCTCTGAGAGCCTTTTCTTTAGCGACTGACACATCACTGCATCATTCCCTTTCCTAATGTCCTGAAGAACGGTCCGGAGCGCAGGCGGAGTGTTTAGCTAACCTCCAGGAAATGTCGACAACAGTTATCCAGAAAGTAGCTAAGGGTTACCAGAGATGTTTCTGAGGTGTTCGCTAGGTACTTTTAAGTTAAAAAGTCAAGAAGGGGGTCTGAAAAGCTGTTGGAAATAGCGTCAAAGTCGCCAAGTTGGCAACACTGTGGGAGTAGCGTTTCATTTGCAACTCGGGGCAGCGCAACTGGGAGGAGCAAATAATCGGCTTGTTTTGTTTTTATAATCGGTCAAAACTCCGATCGTAATCGTGATTAAAATTCGATTAATTGAGCAGCCCTAGTCTCAATGGCAAGGAACCTCGCCTTAATGTCTTGGGCCCACCCCGGTTGCCTGGGAGATATGTCATCAGGAACCGCCAAGGCATGTTCCAGTATTCATGTTCTACCAAGGTGTCAGTTCTCTGTTTGTTAGCCGTTTAGCTAGCTGAGCAAGGTTTCACGGGAGGTGTCTTTTAGCCTAGCCTTGGTCAAAAATGTCCCAGAATACACTGCGGTATTTTTTAAAGGATGGCGGATCAGAAGCTGGCAGCTACTTTGGGGGCAAATTTCTAGTTTAAATTTAAGTCAACTAATTGTAGCTACAGGGCTGATATCTGAAATGTTTTTTTTTTTTTTTTAGATCCAAAGAAGTTATTTATGGTTGGTTAGTTGTTTAATGGTTGCAGCTTCGGTGGCTAGCGGGTAGTAACTCGCTTATATATTTAATTTAATAAATATATACACAGTTTAAAAAGTAAAAGACTTGTTATGTATTTATACTGAAACTAATACATATAAAATATAACGTTAACCCTGTGTCACATGACGTTATGTGGCCCACTGTGGAAGCCACGGTCACATGATGCAAGTCTGTTCCATTTAACCTTTTCTTTAACCAAAGCAGGACAGTGTCTTCATAAGCAAGGCACCTGGCCTCGCAGGACATCGCCTTGCAATGCCAGGCGCCTTGACATTGAGAAGCACCCTAAACCTCTCGGCGATGCCATATTAGATGCCATGTTTCCTTCTACGGGATCCCATAAGGACATAATAATAAATGGTTACAAAACTTTTGCCATGCCTAAATGTTGTTGTTTTACACATTTACCCCTTCACTAGCTGCCGGTAATGAAAAGGGAGTCTGATGTGCTTGGTATTTTGCTGGCGTTTACACTCCCCAGGGCTTTTTAACCCTAATGGTCATCCATTGGTAAAGAATTACTCCAACACAAAAATACTGCTTGCTTTCAACAATTTAGGTATCTACTGCCCCCTATCGTCAGAAATACTACACACTGTCACTTGAAATGAAACATGTGTTTCCTTTTCATATTTTTGCATAAAAATTACCCATAAAAACAAAAAAAGACATCAGTGTGAATTAGCTCGGCTGTGGAGCCGGGCTGCTGAAACAAAGGTGCCGTCTAGTTTATGTTTATTTAGGGCTGGGAAAATCAGAATGACATCGTAATGAGACACAAACAACGTTTCAGGTATAAGTAAAGGATTCTGAAGCGATACGGATTCAAAAGCAGCTGTGTGAGTCTGCAGATGTCTTGAGTCATGTAATTTTAAAGGTTCAGCCCCCAAACTAATTACTTCTGTCGCTGAAGAGCTTTGGCTTTTTTTGTTTTTATTGTTTCAGCTGGGATTGGTACCTCATAAACACACAAAAAAAAGCGTTACTTATGAACAGTCAGTAGGTCAAATGTATTTTTCTTTAAGTGAAAGTTATTTTTATCCTCAAATTGAATTATTAAAAATACATTTTTCAAATGAAAGCCTTGTCATAACAGCATATTCAAGTCAAAACCCTCATTTGCAGATTCAGGGGAGGCTAAAATACATTTAATTGAATTCTGAATTTCAGGGCAAATGTTAATTTGCTGGAAATAAAAGATGGCCACCATTCAGCTATTACACAGCAGGAAAATAAGCTCCCCAACTAAATTTGCTACAACGATGAAACTGAGATAATGCGTCATTTTCTGCATTTAGAGATGCATAACATATAATCTAAAAGTCTAAATATAAGCATCAAATATCATTTGATCCTATAGAAGGCCAGATAATTGAATCAACAGCGTGGCTTCACAGAGCCATAACAGCAATTATCCCCTGGAGAGATAGTTATAGTTTTGAAGTCTATAACTGACCAGTGGTTTTCTGTAATTACAGAGTAATTTAGACAATTATAGGTTTTCTTTAGCTGAGTCGCGACAAGACAAAGTGACACCATGGGCGCGTTGACAGTGATTAATACAGATCTCCTGTTCCTCTGGGAGTTTTTTGTTTGTTTGTTTAGACGTACTATGAGCTCGGATAGATTTGCTTGTTGCTGTTCTGTTCCGTTTCACTGACAGAAAAACACCAGATAAAGCACGTTATTAACTGTAACCAGGTCACAAAGCTGTGGTTGTTATGTTTACCTGTGCTGAGCTCAACTCCCGGGGTTCTTCTTCATCCTGGTTTTTGCAAACTAGAGCGAGGACGTTCAGCGTTTAAAATCTTCTTTGTAAACAGATCTGTCTGGGGAACACGGAGATTTCTCTCAGGTGCATCCGTGACCTTCAGACTGTTATTTTCCTGATGGGTTTGAGATCAAAAACTAAAGCTGGCAGGATTCTTTCCTTTCAGAGCTGAGTTTTTTAAAGCTCCAACGGGATTCGGTGTGAGGCATCATCAGCGTGGACTGGAAGCTTCTGTCTGAATGGGCGGTTCTTGTGAAAAACCTCCAACAAAATCTGAAACGTAACAGAAAAAAACCCATTTGTTTACTGTAGAATAGTAAAGCTGAAGCAAACAGCTGAGAGGATGCCAACACACTGGTGTTCATTTCATCCTCACAAATGTCAGAATGAGATTGAAATCCTTCGGTGACTGAGAACATTGTTGCATCTGAGAGAAACCAACTTTCTTTAGCTCACTGTCTTTATTTTTGAACCTATTCTGTCAAAATAAAAGCAGGTCAATGATAAAAACTCGTTTGTCTCTGTGTCTCTGGCGCTCTGACGGTATGTGGAGTTGTATGTGATAATACAAATTCCCAACAACAACAAAAAAAATACCAACGAAATTTTGCCAAAAAAGCTTCTACCAGTGTTGTGGGCGATAAATAAATCTGCAGAACTCGGCGATGGTGAAAGTGAGAGGTCAGCTTGTTCCCACTCAGCTGTTTCACCCTAGTAAAACTGGAAACCTCTTTCTGCCATGTCAAACTGAAGCAGCACCATTGATCATCAGAAGTGTGTTGTTCTGTGCAATGTCACCGTCACTTTCAGAGTGGCACCTCTCTTTGCAAAGAGCTCCTCGTGTGTCCATCTGTCTTCCAGCTATCAATCACTCACCGCATTAGGCAAGACATGTTTCACTCACGACCAGGTCCCAAATAAGAAGAGCTTCCACTCAGTCTCTGGTTTTCTGTCCTTCTCTTTTGTCACATCAGAAAAACTGTGTCACTCACATCCATGTATCTGTCCATCTCTTATGGTGGGAATGCTATCAAAGGTGTGGATCACTGAAAAACCCTTTTAACTGATCAATTCTGATCAGCCACACTGAATTTGTCATGCAGCGACATGAAAATAGTCTCCTACACCTACCTCCTGCATTAAATTCTGATAGAAAACAGACCATGAAAATCTAGGATTAGAAAAACCCAACAGTGTGACATCACACTGTCATTTAACGTTCATGGACTTGCCCATCTTGACTCACAATGGGAAGGTTGTTGTTGGTTTAGCGTCCAGGAAACAGCAGAGAATGTTTCAACTGCTAGAAGCTAACAGTTAGCATTAGCAACTCCACCACACAGCAGAACTCCTCCAAGATTGTGTTATTTGTGGAGATAAAATATCCACGTTGTTAGTTAGTGAATGAGTTGCATGAGATGTCCGGAAACAAGACTCTAAATTCTGCCGTCTGAAGCTCAGCTGCAATGTGGCTCACTACTAGTTCCTGGAAATGGTGCACCAAGGTACTTCCCCTCAAGTACGACTTACAATGCATTCATTTGTACTAGAAACCACTGCAAATGTACTGATTAAACAAGTGGTCCACACCTTTAACCCTCTGGAGGCAGGCGTTGCAGATTTGCAACGTTGAAACCCACCTACTTGGTTACTCCACATACGTATTTCATGAGCATTGTTTAACTCAGAAGTACCCCTGAAGGACTTAGTTGTTTGTCCTTTTATCAAAACTTATTTTGAGCCTGAGAGGGTTAAATAAATAATAAAGCATCATCTAAACCCGACGTCCTGCACCAGCCCCTCCCCTTCTTCTTATCCCACAAGGATAGCTAGTCTGTGCGAGTGACTTAAACTAGGGATCTGGGTATTGAGCCGATACCGACACAAAAGTTAACCGATACCAGAGCAGTTGCCGAAAAGTAGATTCACTGTAACTTGTTATTTTTGTTCACCTGATATTTTAGTTTTGTGATCATTTCTATTTATATATTTTATTTTTTTATCTTCCTCACAGTCTTTTCCTGTTGAAAGCAGAGAAGAAAATAAAACCTGTATTCCAATTCATAGCATTTTTTTGTGTGGTAGAAGTATCGGTATCAGTAATCGGTAATCGGTATCAGAGAGTACCCAGACCCAAGTGTTGGTATGGTATCGGTTTGGGAAAAAGTGGTATCGTTGCATCCCTAAGCTTAAGATGTCTCAGTCTGAGGAATGGGCGTCTGGGCACAGAACCAGCTGTGTTGGATGCCAGCTGGAGCATCAAGATGAAGAGACTTAAAAAAAAACATTAAAGACAGACATACAGAATCATTCGCAGCAAAAGAAACGGGAAGTTGGAGGAGTGTAAGGAGAGATGTTGACATTAAAGTGGAAATGAGACGCTTAAAGATGGAGGGAAATCAAACTAGGGCACAGACGGGCAAAGAAAAACATGAAGTGGCAGAAAAGTGACACGGCAACTACCAACAGTTAAGCGATGCTAGAACATCCCCTCTTAATATTTGCAGATGGACTTTGTTTAGATAAAAGAAAACAGCGATTCCAGTTGGTTAAACACGTTTATACATTAGATAACAGAGCAACATAAAGCTGCCACAGAAGCTCCACTGACTGCTGCTCTGCCTGGAATCAATACTCTCAAGGAATAAATACGCCACAACACAGACCAGCCGCGCAGCCAGGTCACCGTCCGGCTCAGCGCTCCAGACAGGACGGCGTGCAAGGTCACCGCCCAATCACGCCATGAAGAAGAATCACATAAAGAGGAGAAGAAGAAGGAGATGAGATCAGTCTCCAGTGGTGGAAGCCAATCACATCATGAGCTAAATCTGGACAGACTAGCACCAGATAAAGGGACCAGGCAGCTGTTTGGAGCCGGATGTAATGTCAAACACGAATCAGGCTGCTAGTTCATGCACACACGTCCTTGAGCGAGATACGGAGTCCCTTGCTGGCCGTTTACGTTAATCTCCCAGGATCAGATCATCAGTTCAATGACTAATTTTTAAAGCGGAGCTCCCCCGTTAGGTCCACGGCTCAGCTTACAGGTGATAAAGAAGATGAAACGTTTATGTTTGTCTATTATGAGAAGCAGTCCTGTGTTTGCAAAGGAGGGACGAGTTTAGACATAAAACATCACGCACAATAAAACTGAGTCAGACGAAAAGCACGAACCAAACTGGGGCGCACGGGGATAAATGCCACAATCACTCCTACTTTAGGCTTCGAATGTTTGTTTTTGACACGATAATTCCAGGTGTTTTCTTCCTCGCCTGTGAATAAGATGTACAGAGAGAGCGAAGAGCCAGGATTTTCAGGAGGGAGAATCAGAAGCAAGGACGTGATCCCACTTCTGAGCGGAGAATCGCCTCACCTGGGTTATGAAATTACAGTCGTGAGAAATCTGAACCGCTGCTCAAAGGGAAATGGAAGAAGTCCACGCTAACCACCAAACTGAAGTCTAGGGCTGCTACGTATGGTTTTTGGCTTTTCATTTTCCAGTTTAATTATATTTTTCTCCAAGTATTGAATCACATAAATCACATGAGAAGGAGTTCCGGTTTCCACTGGTGAGCTGGTGTTTCGGAAGTTACCTGATCCAGTCCTCACCTCACGGCCAGGGAGCTTTAATATCTTTATTTACAGTTCATTAAAACCTTCTCAGCCCCTTCATATTAACCTCTGCTTTCTTCATCAAACCCAGACTTGTGGGAATTCCTGCTTATTAACTGAAACATCTAATTATTTTTGCAGGGGAGAAACTAAACAGCTTCATAATTACAAACTTCAGAGCAGGCAGGAGCGTTCTGGTATCAGGACACAAAGCTTCTGTTGACAAAGACGACTAATCCATTTGTTCTACTTAACAGGATGATTCAGGCAGATCTCACTGGAGCTGCTCGCAGGTTCTCTATCTGCTGCCACGCTCCACTGTTCATTTTCACCTCCACCTGGAAGTCATTTTTTTAATCGAAGCTCTTTTTTGTTCTATATTTCTGATCCTTAAAAGTGATTAATTTTTTTCCTCCTGATGTTTTTGGCAGTTTTAACGTCAACAGCATCTTCTGTGGTATTCCCATTCTGCTGTGCTCCCCTGACCTGACCGTTTGACCCTGTGACCTCCTCCTCTCTGGTCGTGACTCTCGCACTGCCAGCTCCTCTCCACCCTGCTGCGCCGGAGCGTGTAGTGTACCACCTCAAATCGATGTACTCGTGTACCTTTGGATCACCCGCCATTCGCCAGGACTATCACTGATTCATGGGGGTCGTGACCTGTCTCCAGAAGCTCCTCTTCTTCCCGTCTTGCATCACTTCCTTTAGAGGCCACAGCGACGTCTGCCCGAGACAATGCTATCATCGCTCCTCTCCGCTCGTTCGGCCGTGACAGATTGATGCACGGGGTAAACAGATCGGGCCACGGTGACACACATCTTTTTGGTTGCTCCGGTGGAGTGGTGATGCGTTTCAGCGGGCTGGAGACGGTGCCGTATGAGGCCCAGATTGAGCATGGAGACATTACTGTCTATTGACTTGAGGTAATAGCTTTGCTGAGCTTCAGCCTGGAGGTAGTTCCAATTTAGTCGCTCCTGTAATGGGTCTTGGACGCCCTCTCGGAGAATAAATAACATGAGGTGGCTGGGCATTAATATCTATTTAAGACCATACATCTCTATAATAACATGTGATCAAACAGCCCATCCCACACCAAACATCTTTAATATCTGCCCATTCCTGTCCCACATTTCACAGCTCGCCATTCTGAGCCGGCTGGAGCCGCAAGTGTCTAAATTATCTATAACCTGGGACAGGAAATAGAGAAGAGGTGGCCAGGATGCTGCTCTGTCTGTGTTTAGCTGCAGAGCACAACCTATTTACAGACAGGGAGTGTATTCACACACACACACACACACACACACACACACTGGAACGGTGTGTGTCTCAGATCTTTTAGTGATCTGATTTTAATTTGGGACGCTGGAGGAACTCCGGCTTTGAAGCTGAGGTAGGAGGATGGGGTGGAGGAGACCGTCGGGGTGTGCATCATGGAGGAGGGAGCATTACGCACGTCTTACGCACGTCAACCTGTCTTCTATGTGTTTTCTGCGTGCTCGTGCGCGCACCCCGCTGTCTGATCGCCTCATAACTCATATGATTTGTTCAAAGAGAGGAAGAAAAAGAGAACGGAACCGTGAAATCCTAGTCGGAACCGGTGAGGTTAAAGCAGCCCCGTCCCTTTAATCCGTCGTGAGGTCTATAGGCTGCCTGCCTTCACAGATTATCCCACTATATGCCCGGGATGTATGCCGAGCAATGTCAGGATGCGATATAGATGAGGCAGGGTGATGCGCGAATAACAGAATAAAGATTAAATATTAATGGAAACAGCAACAGATTTGGGAGGTTTTCGGCAGTGCGGGATGCAGGATGGACGGAGAGGCTGACGCGAAAAGCATCACGGATGTTTATGGGAGAGACAAAAGCCAATATCTTCCTACCTTCACGTCGCAGAAACCCCCGCTGTCCTCAGCTTCCGATTTACTAGCTGTCCTAGTCAGATGCGACGCCTAAAGGGACATTCCGCCCTCTTCCTGTCCTCTCTATCCACAAACCGGGAAGACAGACTGAGAGGGAGAAATGGACAATCTGATATATCTCCTCTCTCCTCTGTCACCTCTCGGATCCCCCCCTTCTTCTTTTTATATTTTCCTCCCCACCTCGTGTTTTTTCCTCCTGTCCCCTCCCTTTCACTCTCCCTCGTTTGCTCACTCGCTGCCTCCTTCCTTTCCTCCCTGTGCTCTGAATACTAATATTCAGCCTCTCCTCTCTCTGCCTGTACTAAAGACACACTGATGTATGTGGGGCGTGTATCGGAAAGAGGAGAGGTGGTGTGTGTGTGTGTGTGTGTGTGTGTGTGTGTGTGTGTGTGTGTGTGTGTGTGTGTGTGTGTGTGTGTGTGTGTGTGTGTGTGTGTTTTAGAAACAGGAGGGTTCTAGATGCAAGGTGCTGGATCTTGTTTAGTTAAATTAAAGCTGTGATTAGTAATACTCTTGCAGAAGCTCCTGAAGAGGGGATGTTTGATGTGAATTTCTATTTTTATTTGTTTCTATTTTGGTGGTGGTGGTGTGTGTGTGTGTGTGGGGGGGGGGGGGAGGGGGGGTCATATAAAATGTTGGCCTGTTTTATAGCAGCATCAGTGGGATGAAAAGGAGAGGATGGATGGACGAAGGAGGGGGCAGAAGGAAGTGTTGCTCGGATGTCAGGTGGTGGGGAGCAGAAACAGGATGGTGGGTCAGTGTTGTTCGGCTCTGAGCCAAAAACAGACATGCCTCTGCTTGTTTTACGTGTGCTGGGGTGTGGGTTTCAGCATGTGTGTGTGTGTGTGTGTGTGTGTGTGTGTGTGTGTGTGTGTGTGTGTGTGTGTGTGTGTGTGTGTGTGTGTGTGTGTGTGTGTGTGTGTGTGTGTGTGTGTGTGTGTGTGTGTGTGCACGCAACATGGAAACCTCGACAACACAAGCAGCTGAGCCACACAGAGGCCAAGATCTTGTTAGAATGAGACTCAGTCCTATTGGAGTCATGATTTGATTATGATATTCCTGCAGGCCCTGTACACACAGGGGGGGGGGGGGGGGGGGGGCACATAAAAACCCTCCCCAGTTTGATGGTACCACCACCCGCAGCACAATGACGGTGCTCCTCTGTTGATACGGAACAGGTTGAAGCATCAAATTAGTGTTTTGTTTAGAGCGGTGTCCTTCAGGCTGCCCTCCGACACGTCTCCTCAGGGCCAGTCATGCCAATAAAACACTGAATCTGTGCATCCAGCAGTGAAAAATCACAGTGGAGTATAACTTAAGCCCCAGATTGGGAGTTTAAACTTTACTCACCGAAACGGTTATGTAACAAAAGTCAACCTTCTGTCCATCAAGATGTTCACTGCAGAAGGGCCTGCTGCTACATTAAGTCAACACCATGAGCAATGTGCATTTGTTATTCTTGTTCTTTGTGTGGTTAGCTGACGTTTTTAAAACCTGCTTCGACTCTAGATATACCGTGGTGTCTCTATAAAACCAAAAATCATTCATTGTTCCTACATAGGTGACATTAAAGAAGTGTTAATCATCTTTTCTACCAGAACATGTCCTTGTGTGAGTTCTGTTTCTGAGACTGAAGTGCACACCTTCATTTTTTAAAGCCCAACGATGAATTAATCATTTCCTCAAAGTCTGTGGACTCACACAGCACACCCCGCCAGAAAGTCTGAGATAGACATTTTCTGTCTGAATGCAGGATTTCGGAATTACCACAAACTAACATGTTGTTTAATTGTGTACAAAATGATAATAATTGTTTTTATGCAGACTTGATGACAAATAATAGGGAAAGTTTAGCTTTATTGTTTATGTGCAGGGCCACAAGAGCTGGTGTCCAGCTCCTGCAATCTTTGGGCAAGAGGCTGGGGACACGTCAACAGTCCATCACAGGGACATATACAGACAAACGAGGCATACAGCCAGTCACCCACTCACACTTATTGAGGCATTTAAAGTCCTCAGTTAATGCTGGGGTATGTAGTTCAAAAAAATTATGTAACTTAAAAATGCTTAGAGATATGTTTTATTGTTTCAATCAAAACATTTGCAGAGATCAATAATAAAAGCCTTGTAAGTCGTACTCAGGGGGGAAAAAGCTTAGATGTACCTGTTTCAGGAAGTAGAAGTCAGCAGCAATAGAAAGTAAGTTCAGACGGCAGGATGTGGATTATTTCCCGATATTTGGACATCTCGCCTCTGATTGGCTAACACCAATACAACTCTACCACTGACTCTGTTTACTCTGCATCATTGATGTTTTATCTTCTGAAGGAGTTCTGCTGTGTGGTGGAGTTGCAAACGCTAACTGTTAGCTTCTACAAGTCGCATTAAAAAGTTCAAACGTTAGCAGCATGTAGGCTGATATGGCGCTAGCTTGAATCCCAACTCTACTTGCATTTAAATACTGTCAGTCTGTTAACTTCAAGGTAGCTGTGGAAGACGAGAGAGGAACAAAAACAGATTTGTCCTTCCTGTTTTGGTGCTGAGTGATTATTGTTGCATTCAACCTCGCCCTCCATCAGACTATTGTTTTAGCTCTGTTGCATCCGCTTTCCCTGAACATGCGCAGCATGAGGCCTGGCTTTCAGCTCTGTCCAGAAGGGGGGGCTGTAGCCATTTAAATTTCTAATTTTGCTCTCTCCTTGGTCATGTCATGCAATAGACCACAGCTTCAGCCTAACAAGGTTATAAAATATCATTTTCATAAACTGATGGAATGTATGATTTTTGATTTGATTTCAGACACTGTAATTGTTCCAGTTATGACCAGTTCCATTGAAATATTGTTGAAAATGAATGAAATGATGCCCATTTGTTGAAAAATATTGGCAGTTTTGTAACATAAAACCATAAAAACTGGGTCTAAAATAGACAGGAGCGGGTCTAAGTCGCTGGGCACTTTAAAAACAATGAAACAATAGTTTAATTACTTTTAAATCTGAGTTACTTCTAATGGATAAAATAATATTTAGAGCGTTACTGTCTAACGCGTTTCACTACAAGTTGTACACTGGCTGACTTTAGTCACTAAAATAAAATAATCACTTTTCACATTTGGTTGGAAACATATTTTACCAGACTTGAAATTTTGCTGGAAACAATATTAAGTTTCATAGGTTTTGTACAATAAATACCCTATGATGTGTTTTCATGATCAAGCTGGTAACTGTGAATTAAAAGAGACATCAGAGCTGAAAGAAAAGCTGTGTTTGGAGCCCTGCAGCCACGATGATTGACTGATAAATGAGAGTAAACAGTAACCTCTGTTAGCTGTCACAGCAGAGCACACAGGGGGCTGAGACAAGCGGCAGAAGAGGGCTCAAACACATAGAAGGAGCAGGATATGATCAGAAGAGGAGAGGGGAGGAAAGCAGAGCACAAGAGACAAATAGGACAAGCTAAAGGCAAACTACAAGCAGCCGTCAGTTCAGAAACCTTTGAAATCGTGTTGATCATACTGTGATGCTTTTATGTGGGAAAAACTATCCTCTCCTAAGTATGCAGGGAACATTTAGGCCTTCAGTTTGTGCGTGTGTTCTTGGACTGTATGCATGCTAATAAAGTGTTAAGCTGCATTGTTAGATCAAGAAAATGAAAAATACAAAATTTCTTTGGTAAGTCCCATTTAAGCACCAATAGGACTAGCCCTGCCAGTTTAGCTGTTACTGAGTTATTATAGTACATTCACAAAAAGGGCTCTCATCTCATCTTATTTCAAGTATTTCCCTTGTTTTATAATATCTTGTCTGATCTTATCTCGTTTTATTTAGTCACATCATCTCTCATCTAATATCTGATATCATTTTGTATCAAGTCAAGTCAAAGTCATTTTATTGTCATTTCTACCACATGTACAAGACATACAGAGAAACTAAATTGAGTTTCAGTACACACAATTCAGAGATCAGACATACATGGGCAAGACACATGACAAGAATTGGTGACTGCGGTCATTCGCAACATGAGTCGCGCTACCTTAATAGATGAAAAGGAATTACATGAGGATAGGTTGGTGGAGGGAAAAAAAACAGGCATACCATAGTTACACCCGACAGGGCGTAGCTGTACTATGCAAAAAAAAAAAAAAAACAAACACCTCAGACATATAAGCACGAACATCACAGTTACAAAACATCTCAGATAACATCAGACTCCGATAGGGAGGCGGGGAATTGTCATGCCTGGAATTGTTTTTCCTCCTCTCATTCCATCTCCTTTAATATAATCTCATCTCATCTCTTCTTAATTAATCTAATCTCTCCTCTTCACTCCTCTCCTCTCCTTTCCTTTCCTCTCCTCTCCTTCACTCATCAAATCCAATCTCATCTCACTGAATATAATCTCATCTCATTTAATCTTCTTTCCTCTTTTCTCACTTATCCTAATCTAACCTCATCTCAACTAATTTTGTCTAACCTCATTCAATCTCATCTCATCTCATCTAATGTAATCTAATCTCCTTTATTCTCATCGCTTCTCATCTATAATCTCATCTTTTATCATCTCATTTCCTCTCAACTCATCTAATCTAATCTCATCTCAACTAATTTTGTCTCATCTCATTCAATCTCATCTAATCTCATCTCATCTAATCTAATCTAATCTAATCTTTATTCTCATCACCTCTCATCGATATCTCGTTTTTTGTCATCTCATTTCCTCTCAACTCATCTAATCCAATCTCATTTAATGTAATGTAATCTCATCTAATCTCTATTATTCTCATCTCCTCTCACTTATTCTAATCTAATCTCATGCCATGTCATGCCATCTCCTCTCCTCTCCTCTCCTCTCCTCTCCTCTCCTCTCCTCTCCTCTCCTCTTCTCTCCTCTCCTCTCCTCCCCTCTCCTCCCCTCCCCTCCCCTCCCCTCCCCTCCCCTCTCCTCTCCTCTCCTCTCCTCTCCTCTTCTCTCCTCTCCTCTCCTCCCCTCTCCTCCCCTCCCCTCCCCTCCCCTCCCCTCTCCTCTCCTCCCCTCCCCTCCCCTCTCCTCTCCTCTCCTCTCCTCTCCTCTCCTCTCCTCTCATTTTACACAAAACAGAATAACTATTTTTCTTACAGTTCCTGTTGTACAAAAGCCTGATCCTTATTTATGTCACCCTTTGAGAACTTAAGCATCAAGCTCCCACACTGAGCCCACGTTGGTGCAACATCATTGAATTACCTAGACAGGAGGGTTATCATTGGGCATGCCTTCCAGCTGTCTGTGCCATAAATCATCTGAAAGGATTAACTTTG